TCGGCATTGAGGTGCTTGTTGAAGTGATGGCAGCCTTGCGTGAGCGAGGTTTGCAGGATCGCATTGAGGTCTACGTGGATGGCGGTGTGCGCCGTGGCTCTGATGTGTGCAAGGCTCTGGCGCTTGGCGCCAAGGCTGTGGGCATTGGTCGGCCGACCCTGTATGCCATGGCCGGCTACGGCTCACCTGGTGTTGAGAAGGTGTTTCAGGTATGCTGGACTCGTATGCGGGGTCATATATACCACTAAATCCCTGTGTGTGTGTGTGTGGGGGGGGGGGGGGGGGGGGGGGGGGGTTGCTGGTTGATTTGGGCGACCTTTTTGCAGCCCAATGAGAACACAGCTCACCACGGCACGACGTTGCATGTGCATAGATTTTACAAGATGAAATGGAGATGAACATGCGCTTGCTGGGTGCCCCAACTATCAAAGACCTCACCCCAGACATGGTGTTTGCCGATAGCGTGTTTTCTCATCATGCACCACCCAGCAATCACCTTGCCACCTACACCTACGAGCCGCTGACTACCCTCAGTCGTTTGTAATGCTCCCGTGCAAACCACAAACTACAAGGGGTCGCGTTGCGCCATCAGTAATGTTTCAATAGCTATTGGATCATGTCATTGTTAGGCGGTCGCATTTACGTGACATTCTCCGCAGCAACAGGTAGTGCGCGGAGCGTCGCCTTCTAGTGATTATTCCAGCGTCAATTGACCAGTATGACCTGCGCACTGGATCGACCGAACCACTGACTCAACTTCACCTCAAGGCCTTCTTTACCCTTACTGTCTTCCTTCAGTTCATTTACAGCGATACAACAAAATAAACATTGACTAGGACCATCTCCATCACAAAAGTCGAGTACCCTTGAAGGTCTTGGTGTGCTGATAGGTGGAGCCCTCAGGCACATCACACAAGATATTATCGTACAAAATCTGCAATCCGATCCAAGACTATGCGCGGTAACGGTCCATCGAGTAAACCGCGACGTATTAAAATTCCTAGTGCCACGGCTAGCTCACGCTGCCAGCCAGTTTGTGCCTGTACGAGCCAAGCAAGGGTGGGTCACTGAGCAGGGGCTGCGCGCAATCATCAGAGCGCGCCTAGGGCACAGGGGCACTTCGGATGTCGAACCAATTGATCAAAGGCCGTGTCTAAACTTGTAGCACCACAAGCGCTTGTCGATTTAATCCCCACTTCAGCATCTGAATCTGCGTCCGAATCTGGGTCTGAGTCTGAAGCTGATGCCGACGCTTGATCCGGAGCCAATTGTAAACGGTGCTCGGCACTTTCATGGCTGGGCCCTCGACTTATCTAATCATAATCGGTCCAGGGTGCAACGCATTCAAAAGTGAAGAGGGCAGCTGCTCATCACCCAACGGAAGCCGGATGTACAAAGACGTACTTCTGGCAACAAGCCCCGAAGAACGAGCTCACGATACCCATCCAGCCATTCATACATGCGGAAGACGCGCAACCACGGCCGCTAGACAATGGCAAGGACGGTCGTTGCAGGTGAGCGAAACCGTGCGCTCAGCCTTGCGGGACGATCGAGAGCCAAACTCACGTGATTGCTGACGAGATGCAAGCTATATTGACACAGCAATTGAAGGCCATCCAAACGCTGTACCGCTGCAAGGTGGCACATAAGCTGATCCATGTGAAGGACCCCGCCATACTCGATTGCAGGCACCACCTCCACCACACGGGCCAAGAGGGAGCGCAACACCATCAGGTCCACTCGCTGGCGACTATGATCCTGATCCGCCTTCTCATCCTCTTCTTCCATGCGCAAACAACCAATGGCGCATCCAACGAGCGAGCCCAGTTCATGGCCCGATGGCTGAAGCGATGAAAGGATCCGGTCAGGCAACGTTGTGAGTACGAAAAGCCAAGGGCATGCTCGACTGTCACCAGCCAAAACACTGACAACTTTGGTTTTGGCTTCGGAGGTCAAGCAAAAGGAGGGGTGACATACTTGCGGCAACGGCGAAGATAGTATCCAGTTGAGCGTGCTGAGACGGCGCCACTTGATAGCTTCGCGTAACAGTTGATAGCTTGACTAGGGACGAGCAGGGTGACCGTGGGCGTGAGCTGGAGGTCGAGCAAAATCCAAGATGGCGCTGAACACATCAGAGCAAACCACACGCCCATTCATGATACCACGTAAAGAGCACTCTCAACCAGCTGTTGACGCTGCTCCCCATCCAAAAGGTCCGTTTGCCGAACCATGGCCAGCATCTGACCCTCGAGCACCGCCACCCCCGACGTGGTCCGGCTCCTCTCCATCCTCACTCGTGTGTGTGTGTGTGTGTGTGTGTGTGTGTGTGTGTGTGTCGCGAAAAGTCTGACAATTACTTAAAATTTTGTCTGAATTTTTCATTTTTTTTTTTTTTTTTTTGTGTGTGAACGACAAGACGCGAGGAGAGCAAAGTCGAGGAGTTGGAGGGCGTGCTGGTGAAAGTAGTCGGCGTCATGGCGCGTCCGCTTCGCCTTGATTTGCAGTCGCCATTGGGGGCCACGCGAAACTTTCGAAGCATTGCCTTTGACAACAATTTGCCCCGCTCACCCGAGAGCATTATGCCAAGTGATGCGCCCTTTCAAGGTGCCCGTCCTGACGACATGCTTGTGTGCCGGCCACACGCGCTGTCCGTGCTGAACCATCTCTCAAAGGGTAGTGCCTCACTTTGCAAATGCCCACGCTAGACGTGACTGTGTTTGAAGCGGAGCTGGCCCTGAATCGAATCCCCAAATCCAGCGAAGAAGGCACAAAAGGTAGGCTGGGTCAAACATGACAGTACACTACTGTTACAACACAAAGGCGCCATGCTCGGCTCATTTTGATCGGTGCGTGTGCAGCCATGTTGCAAGAGGTTCTCAAGCAGGTTCGGGAGCACGCGGACGCCCAGCTGACTGATGCCTGGCAATATCCACCTATTGATGAATTACTGGGCCTGCTTGAGCCGGCCGGTACCGAGAGTCGATAGACCGGAAGTGCAGCGCGTTAAATCTTCCGTTGCCTTTCAACTTTTTTTCAGCACGGTCTTGGTGTGGCCTTTCTGCTCAAATCAGATCTGCCCAGATGGGCCGGTGATCACTTGGGTGTCGGGCACGCCCTTCAAGGCGTGCGTCGGAAAACTGTTCAAAGAGCTCGTGTGCCACCCCAGCCCGCCGCGTGGTCTGAAACAGTGCTCGGCTAGCAGCATGGCCCGACACGCGTAAGTACGCGTGCTGAGAAAAACAAACAAGTGCCACTCACTTTTTCCAAACGCTCAAGCGTTGGCCCTAATCGATCTGTACATATGCGAGTCGCACCTGACACAAATGTGGTCAATCAACACCCGCTTGCTCGGCACGCCGTCCACGTAATCATCAAAAATCGCGGTGTACATGCTGGCTGGCGAGACAAAGCGTGATCGAATCAACAGGGCCTGTGCGGGTTGATATCAACAGCCAGTCGATCGCACGTCAGTCGGCGAAAGGATATCGCCCGTCCAAGCCAGGTCAACTCGAGCTAAAGGCTCAAATACCTGTAGCATCTTATTGTGATTGAAGGGGCTGCCCATGAGCGCATCCAAGCTACAAGAGCAGCAGTACAGATGTCACCACCTTTTATCACTAGACGAGAAACGAGCCTGCCTTTTCGTCGCCCTCGTGAACACCATCGGGCTCCTCACGTACCCAGAAGTCATCAAATAGAACCGCTCAAAAAAGTCCATGCCTGCACCGTGATTTGCGATGGGGCGTGCCGGTCAAGCCCATTGTCCACATGGTGAGTCCATTTAACAACCATATTCTTGACCCAATCCTCTCTGCCACGGCGCACGCAAACCTGGACCGGCGTTGAGGTCACCGGAGACCACCAGCAAAGGGTTCTCGTGGCGCGCAAATACAAAGCTGTCGGTGAACAGAAGAATATGAATTCCGAGCAAGAGTGCCTTCTCGCAACGCAAACACCAGCGTGCATGGCCTTTACCGATTCAGACACTCGCGAAGCCGTAGGCATTCGCCCACGATGCGACGGCGGTTCTTAACCTACATCAGCACATTTCATGCCGGTTATGAAGACCCAGGCCACAACCTCCCACAGCCAGACTATGAACCCAGCATACCGCTTGCTGAATGAACTCCTGTTTGTCAGCATCGTTGTGGCTTTCCCAGCGTGAACGACCTGAGAGAGCAACGCGTGTTAGAGCGATGCAATCCACAGGCAAGGAACTCACAGCAAGGGCCTCGTTCAGGAATAAGAACATGCCATACCATTGGCCACATGCTTGCTTTTAGCATGGAGCGTGCAAGCAAAGACCACGCGTCGCTCAGTGAGTTGCACTGTCGGCGTGGTGGGGCGCGTCCGATCTGCGGGCAGACCGCTTGCTCCCGAGTGTCCGTCAGCCACGCGCACTCCTGGGGGCGACACTGCCCGCGCCTCAAGCTCCGCAAAGTCTAGAGTATCCTGAGCGAAAGCCAGCCCTGGCTGTTCTTGTTGCCATTGCTCCCGCTCCACGCGATCCTCCAGATGCAAGGAATGTTCAATGTCGTTGCGAGGTACATTGGAGCACACACTGCCTTGTTCAGCACACACGCTCGCAGGAACCTGTCAACCCGTGCCCCGTTGTGGGCACAGAAGCATATGTGAGGCGTCGTCGAACAATGGAGCTCGCGGCTGTTTACAAATGTCAAAGCTTAGCTCAGCCCAACTTGGCCCATTGTGCCAAACTAACGTCAAGTTCAGCCTGGATAAGGAGTGGAATGCGCTGAAAGCGATATTCCTAGTTTGAGGGGAGAAGAGGGCGAGGGTGAGGATTACATGTTGGCGTGAGCATGCAAACTGGACCCCAGATCAGAAGCACGCAGCAAAAGATTTAATGCAGTAGGATCGCTGGACCACACCTGCAGGTGCAGATTGCCATCCACGTCAAAATGCCAAGGCTGCTGCAAGAAGGCCTGGGCCTCCGGGACGAGTCGCACGTTGCGCAGAGGGCCTTCTCGTCGCACCAAAAAATACAGTTGCTGCGCCTCGTGAGGCTCCAAACCCCCTACACGAGCAAACAGGCAAGCGTAAGGCCGACAGTCTGAACCCAACACGCTCGTGCTGACACTGCCAAAGGGTCGGATGGAACCAGAACCCGCCAACAACTACAAGCACCTGGCAACCAGCATCTCATGGCAGTTTCAACGGACCTATCACGCTAAAGGCCGAGTCCAAGTAGCGCTCAATGAAAAGTGTCATGCGTTGCAGGTTGGAAGGGCCCTCCTAGCAGAATCAGCAATCGTGCACGCATCAGCAAACATGGCTGACTGACTAATGTTCTCTTTTGGTGACCAAATGGCACAGGATCAGCGACTGTGCTGTGGATGCGCCAGGTGGCAGACCGACCTGCACAGCCAGCAGGTCCGCGTCCAAGGCCACAATGACGCAAGCAATCCGTTCCTATAAAAAAGCATCCAGGAAGAGGTTGTGAGTGCCCCCTACTTCACCACTGTGCTGAAGTTCTAGCGGGATGCATTCAGCAGGGCTTTGTACGAACCAAAAGGTCATTGACGTCGGCGATATCTTGGCTGGGCACGGCCAAATTGAACTCCGTATCACTCAGAAACAAAGCGTTGAACCCTGTTTCAAGATCGAATGGTGAATGGCACAGTGACAGTCATGCATAGCTTCCGGTAACCATGCTTGGATGGAGGTAAGGCGGAAGCACATGATCTCCATGCCAGCCGTACATTCGATATTCCAGCTCGCGTAGCGCAAAAGATGCTGGGTGCCCGGCTGATAGCCCGGTGGGAGCTCCGTGTCTAAGAGCAAGTCCAGCCGCCCAGTGAAGGTACCTTGTCATATCTGATGGGTTGATGTACTACAGCCCGGTATGGTGTGGCTAGGAACTCGTGTAGGACGCTCAAGGACGTACTTGATTCGGCCAGCTCGTGGGAGGATTCGCGAGCAAGTTTACGGTATGCACGCAAGGCCTGCTGGAGAATTTGAAAGTCATCTAAGGGCAATACCACGACTGTCAGGCCCCGAAAGCTGCAGAGACCGACCGTCTCGAATGCCTGGCGGGTGACGCATGCATAGTGTGCTGGGACGTACCGGCTTCTTGCCGGCGCACCTCGGGTGCCGGTACCATGACCTCAACCACTCGGCTCTACAAAGGTTGCGGGATTCCCGTTTGAAGGAACCGCTGGCCGCCATGCCAAGACCCCCCCTTTCCAAGGAGTGATGGGCTAGCAGAATGCTTCAGGTAGATCCTGACCTTTTTGGTTCGATGCCCATGAGAATCGTGGTGGAGGCCGAGGTGCTCTGCAATCTCATGAATCATACGACGCTGCTTTTGCGATTTGTTTTGGAAAAGGAGTGGACGCTTTAGCTCTTTACCTTGCAAGTACAGAATCATTTCACTGGAAACCCGCGCAACGGCCGGTGTTAACGGATTCATACAGGCGGGAGACTTGTGCAGCTGCCCGGTCGCAAACAAAGCAGAGTGCGAGCAAAGTACAACTGACTCATAGTAGCGTCGCTCTTCAGCCGTCCACTCGGGGTGCGGCATGGGTGCCGTGTCCAGCAACTCCTCTGCCACATCCGCTAGGGTCGCAGGGGTCGTAGGGGCTACACCGCTGCTGTGCAGGGGTTGTTGTGCGCCGAAAGAGGCTGCTGGTGTGGCAGAGGCCGGTATCGGGGCACCTCGATCGGTACGCGATCCATGAGCTTGCTTTGCGTTCCGACGTGACTGTTGGGGGCTTTGTACCGGTGATGGACGAGAGCTGAAGCCGTCTGGCTTCCACACCTTGGGGGCACGGCGCGGGGGCGGTTGGACACGGGGGTAACAAGCGGGTGAAAGGGGGTGAGGGGAAAAGCGACGCCCAGGCGAGCGCGTGACCGGTGTAAAAATCCGCAGAGGCACGCAAGAACAAGGACCTTGACGCAGCGGACAACGCGATCGGCTGAACATTCAGCACCCTCCTCCTCCTCTGCATCCAGCATCGAGTCCTAGAGGCGTGGCGAGTTTGTCAACGCAAGGTGGTCAAAGGAGATTCTTGGCTAGTCGCAACCTCCCAACCCTCCGACGGTGTAGTGCCGCGGGCAAGGAAACGCGGTGCTACAGGGGCCGAGCCCACCTCAGAATCGGGCTGAATGTCCGTCAGAGAACCGGGTTTGAGACAATAGCTATGACTCTTGTGTTTTAGACCAAAGAGCCTGGGAGCGAGCAAGCGTGAGTCGATGAGCTGTGAGGGCTGTGCACTCTGATTGCCCACAGGGGGGACAGGAAGAGAAGCGCACCGGGCAAGGACGTGCACGCGCTGCCGTTGGCTGATGGTCAGTGTTGGTGAGAAGATCATGGCCGTGCGATGTGCGTTGAGCGAGAAGAGCTTCAGCTGATTGTACAAGGGTCGATCAGCTGCGGGAATGTGCGGCTCGGGGATTCGACCCGTCCGTAGAACAAAAGCAAAACTCATGGCGATGGGGAAGGAATCCCACCCCCACCCCGCAATCACAGCTCGCCCCGCCTCTACACGCGGCACACCAAGACGGGATCGTCATGCAACAGCACCAAGCGAACGAAAGCAAAGCAGAGAAAAAGAAAAAAAGAGGGAGAGATGTGTCTATACCAGTCGGATAGCCAAACACGACACGCTATGAAAAGTGCCGGCGCCAGGTATCAGTGCCCAGGCGTCAGCGTCAAGTCCCAGCGCAGTCTCAAAGCCAGAGCGCCCTCAGAGGAGAGTGCAGCCGTGCAATCCCCAACGCAACGTCCCCTTGGCTCTGAAACAAAGTGCGGACACACACACACACACACACACACACACACACACACACACACCACAGAATTGAATTTGTCTGACATCAAGAGGTAAAATCTGACATCGCTGTTTCATTCATTTCTATCTGACATGTTGGACACAGGCGAAATTGGTCAAAAAAAATTGGGTTTGTGGCTTTTTTTGTTAATTATTTTTTTGGGGGAGGGATTGGAAAGCGGAAAGATGAAGGTGGCTTCGGCTTCATCTACGGCACCGGTCGTGCAAGTTTGGTTGGCGGTTGCCGTGACAAGCATAGTGACTGCGTACCTGCTCATTGCATTGCCATCAACACTGCCGGACAGCATTGTTCACAAACCAGCGAGCGCCGCCTCTGATTCCAGGACCACCACGGCTGCCACCACAACGACGACGACTGCGGCGCCGATGCCAATTCCAGTCGAGCCGACTCCGCAAGCCCTCTATGTCGGCAGCTTGATCGAGGAGGTGACAGGATTTGCGGACTTGTTTGCCGAGACCGAGCTGCGCGTTCACGTCAGAGGCCTCAAGTGGGCAGAGGGCCCCACCTGGGTGCCGGCCGGAGCTCGCATCCTGACCAGTGTACCAACGACACAGGATCAGGTCATCTTTTCTGACACAAAGACCAACATCATGCACTACTTCATTCCAGCCACCGGCAAAAGCGGCCCTTTTCTCACGCCATCAGGTTGCTATGAAAGCAATGATGTACCCTGCGACTCGGTATGTATCAACGTTGGCAACCCAAGCCCTGAAATTCGCCGAGCGCCTGCACCACGCCTCACCCCCAGTATTGGCAGCTCATCGAACCAGGTAGCAATGGCCTGCTCTACCACGCACCGACGGGTGGGCTGCTGGTGTGCCAGCATGGTGCTCGGCGGGTGATCTTGCTGGTAAATGGTACAATCATACCCTTGGCTGAGAAGTATCGCGGCGCACGCTTGAACAGCCCGAATGATCTGACCCTGGATGCAGAGGGCAACATCTTTTTCACCGACCCTTCGTATGGGTTTAACGACCGAGAGCTGGATACCCGCCGAGAGCTGCGAGAGAACAACGTTTTCAAAATCCCCAGTGCTTACATCAAGGCAAGTTCCCACAACTGCTGGATCGGCCCCCGTATCAGACCGATCAGGGTCGCTCACTCTGACCATGCCTTCACACACAGCGCTATCTGGCTGGCAAGAGCACCCTAGATCCTGTCAAGCTCCGCCTCACGGGCCTGGACACGCCACTGTTTCGTCCCAACGGAATCTATGCTCACAATCAAAAACTTTACATTGCCAACTGCATCCCAGATAACCAGGGCTATTGGGTGGTACGTCACATCAGCTCGCAAAGACGCCACGACTCACACGAGGTGGCGCAGACTCACCACCACGGGATTCAACCTCGGTTCCATGTGTTGTGATCCGTCTTCTCTGTCAGGTGTGTGAAACTGTCAGTGCCAACGGCATGGCTACATGCGAGCCCTTTGCTCAGGAGCACGTGCGTAGCGGCGTCAAGGCCATCGGTGCAGCAGACGGCCTCAAGGTACGCCGTGCGCGGTAGAATGGTTTGAACATGTCACTATAAGTGCATGTTCTATCCCGTATGCTTTTTGTGCGTGCCGACCCGTGTCTACGAATGTCTTTGCCGCGTCTCATGTGTCGTATGGTGGCCACGTGGACATCGAGATGCAGGTTGATTCTGAGGGTCGACTGTGGGCCACGGCCGCAGGAGGCGTCCACGTTTTTGCTCCAGACGGAACGCGTCTGGGCATGGTGCGCACAGATAAAAAGACGGGCAACCTTGCCTTTGGGGGGGATGGCCGCCTCTACCTGACCGTGGATGATGTGCTGGCCAGCATTGCGCTGGTATTGACGTGACACGCCGGTCATGCCGCGCAAGTCCATTCGTAATTAAGTAACAGGGCCGTTTCCAAGCTCAATTGACGCCTAAAAATGTCCCAATGGTGGCGGTCAGCCGGGCGATGTACATGGCATCTATACATGCAATGTTAGTAGGTCTCCTGCCGTTTGGCCAGCTGCTGGGGCCAGTCTTCGCCACTCCACCACGGCATGGCAGTCTGAAAATCAAAGGTTGGCCCGCGGTAGCGGAACGCATGCAGGTAAATGCGCATGGCCTCGGGTGCCGGGTCTTGACGGTCAATCTGCCAAGAACGTTCGCACGGCGTGAGGCCGGCGTGAGCCGGTACGAGCTCCGAGAGCATACGCATGCGCAGCCTCGGTGAAATGGGGTGGATTGACCCAGCGACCAGTGACATGACGCTTGTACCTGACACTCGGTACACCCGGGCCAAAATTCGTATTTTGCTGCTTCTGGTAAGTGCTCCGCCTGGCGATTGAGACGTGGTTCCGAGCAGTCGCTATCTTGCAAACGCGACTGGCGGGAATCCTCGGCTGCAGGGGGTGCGTCGGACGTAGAGCCGCCGACACGGTCGGCAAGCTCCTCGCCACCCAAGTCTGTTTGCTTGGCAGAAGAGTTGGCCGAGCGGATGCGATTGGCAAAGGCCTCGGACAGCTCCGCAACCCGAGCTGCATCGCCTTGGAAACCGCGACCACGTTCTGGACCCCAAAGCTCTGAATTGTAGACGGGATCATTGACAATGGGATGGCCTGAAGGAAGAACAGGGGGGATCAAAAACGCAATGATGTGGATCGACAGTCGGAACCAACTTTGGGTGCGGCCATCACCGAAACATGGGCGAGCTGTATACCTAAATACTGTACGTGCACGCGAATCTGATGCATGCGCCCCGTTTTAGGAAAACCTGGAGCATCAGATGACCAAGACGCTTGTGAGAGGGCGACAAAGCATGCCGACTGCTCCAGGGCGGCTGCAGGCAAGGTGGCGTATGCCGGGGACTGCAAGGTGAGCGCATGGAGGATGTGGCCGTACAGTGCAGAACCGTCGTGTCCTTGTCGCGTCGAATGACCCGGAACCGAGTCAGGCTGGCCTTGCCTTCTGGGTGGACACAGCACAGGCCAAGCTAATGGGTTGTCGCGAGCGTCGCGGCCGCAAGGACGGAGCAGGAGCGGCAGTCAGGAGCCGCAGCAAGGGCCGGGTCAGAGATGGATGTATCAACTTTCAAGCGGCTGGTCATCGGGTGTGTCGACCGGTTCGGAGATAAGGGTTGGGCATGGGATATTGTTTTAGAAGCGTACCCGTTGATCACAAATCTTCAACGGAGCGTCGCACTCAAATTCATCTCTGCAAGGTGTTTGGGTAGCGCAGGGTCAGGTCAATACGACGAGTGTAACTTGGCCGCCTCGCATCGACCAACGAATAAAACTGACTGCTCGACACGGCCTTGAACACGGCAGATGTACTGCTTCTCAACCTGATGCTGGGTGATCCACTGCTCAAATTGCTTGGCCATGGCTGGATTCCTGGATGCAGACAAGCATTAGAGCGGGCCATTTGGTGCGACGCCGACTTGAGGAAGGGGACCAAAGCTGCAGAGGCCAGCCGCTCGAGAAGATAAGGCGAAATGGCCAGTCAGGTTAACCAAAAACGTACTTGCAAAAGATAAGGAGGCCCGAGGTGAGGCGATCCAAGCGATGACAGGCTGCAATAATGGCAATGGGGGTGATCCAAATCCAATACGGGCATGAGTCGAAAAAAGAGTTGTCCCTGTAATCACAAGGCTTGATATTTCACAAGGCACAAGGCCTGCGGCTTTGTGGATACAAAGTCGGCCTGAGCAAAGGATTTGAGTCACGCCGGGAGAATAACATCACAAGAAGATGGGTGGCTGATCGTACGGTAGACACGCCAGCGGTCATGCTCATGGCCGAGGATGGCTTGTACGGTGTTGTGGCGATAGCGACCGCAGGGGTGCACGGGAATGGAAGCTGGCTTGTCAATGGCGAGCAGGTCTGGAGTTTCGCCCACAATTGACAAGGGATCGTTCGTGACGGGCGGTTCATGGCGATGTACTTTGTTCAGAATGATGTGGTTATTGTCAATGATGAAATCCAGGGGCACGCGCTCAGAGTTGACAGTGATGAGGCCCTCGGTAATGGCATGTCTCTGAGAGCATCCAAAGTGCACAGCGCAGGTCAGTGAGGCAGGGCGGAGAGAAGCAAGCCACAAAAGAAGGTTTGCAAGAGGCGGTTTGTCTCGGTGTTGTTTGACGAACGTAATACTCTGGAGTTTCAGCTTGAAACTCGTTGGTAAAGACATCGAGGATGGTCCGGCCGTGCCAACGGCCTTTGGCATAGCAATTGAACGTGTAGAAATAGGGAGGAATGCGTCGAAACTCTGGCGGCAGTGCATCAAGGCTGGAGTGAGTGAAGGGCACGAGCTGGCTTGAGACGCGGGCACCAGACCAGCCGCACTGCATCTGCTGCCTGCACCTACTGCTGTCTGTGTACGGGGTGGTCTCTTTGCAAAATTCGGCATCCACCTGCCGAGCCATGAGCTGAGAGAAAGCAACGGGAAAGGATGAGCATGTGCTTGGCCACAGGCACAGCGTGCAGACTGAGGGCTGGGTGAGGGCTTTGAGCGATGAGAAGGATGGCCCACCTGGTTGGAGCGCGCGCGATCGTGGTTGGGCTTCTTCTGCTTGGGCTTGGCTTTGGCCTTTTGCTTTTGCTTGCCGTCACGGTTTGCTTTTGAACGTTTTCCAGCCGGACGATCGGCTGCCTCATGTACAGGCCCCGTGGTTGGGCTAGGGGCCACGGCATCCTGTGGAGCGGTGCGCTTGGCCTGCTGTCGGCTCGCATCGGAAGCGTGTGCTGCACCGCCCGTGGCGACCGGTGGAATGGCTGCCTCCTCCAACCCCATCCATCGCCGAAGGCCCGGCGGGCAAGCAGCACTGATCCACCGCCACATACCACCTCCTAACCGCTGCTGCGCCACTGTAGAGGTATGCGCGTGTGTCTGTGTGCGTGTGTCTGTGTGTGTGTGTGTGTGTGTGTCTGTGTGCGTGTGTCTGTGTGTGTGTGTGTGTGTTGTCCCCTCTGCTCTGCCCCCACGTCCGTTCACACCTCAAGTACACACCCACCCAAGAGGTATCAGAAATTGGGAAAACACAGACACAGGCAAAGAGCACATGTCAGATTATGTCCGCAATCCTCGCTCTGTCTTTCTCAAACGCTCTCTCTCTCAAACTCTCAATCTTGCTCTCAATCTCTCTCTCTCTCTCTCTCAAACTCTCTCTCTCTCTCTCTCTCTCTCAAACTCTCTCTCTCTCTCAAACTCTCTCTCTCTCTCTCTCAAACTCTCTCTCTCTCTCTCTCAAACTCTCAAACTCTCAAACTCTCACTCACTCTCTCAAACTCTCTCTCTCTCAAACTCTCAAACTCTCAAACTCTCTCTCAAACTCTCTCAAACTCTCCCCCCCCCCTCTCTCTCTCTTTCTCTCTGTTGGTCTGGGGGCGGCGGGAAGATGGTGGAGGCTGGGGAATGGTTTGTGCCGGAGCGATGGGTGGGCAAGACGTTGGAGACGCCGAAACAGGATGGCAAGTGGCAGCGTGGTCGGACGCGGAGGAGTCTGGCTTTTGGCGTTTGTACGAGACATAACAAAGTCACGGGTTCGCCCGTGGCGCCAGTCCCTGATGATCTGGTGGGTCTGCTCCATGAGGTTGGGGTGCTGGCTGACATGAGCGCGCCGGCACTCGACCGCTTGGCCGTCCTGGTGGAAGAGTATCAACCAGGACAGTGGTGTCCACCGCGGGCAGAGCCCGAGGCCGAGGTAGGCAGTACAACGCCATGCCCGTGTCCCTGTCGTATGTGCCTTTGCGCCTGCATGTCTGTGTGTGTCTTCTCTGTATGCATGTGCAGTTGCAATGGCCACACGCCGCATGCACTCGAGATGAGCTCACGATGGTCGTGTCCATGTCCCTTGCTTGGATACGCTCCTTCTGCTGGGGGGCTCTCGGTCGGTGCCATGGGGAATGTTGATACCACCCTGTTCCCAGCTAGCACAGCCCACTGTTGCTTTGGCCTTGGGAGCGCCTGTCGAGTTGCACCTCGGGACTGCGACAACCACCGTGGGCGACGCGACTTTTGGAAATGTTGACCAGGTGCTGGTATTGCAGCCTGGCCAACACGCAGTGCTTACCCCCGGTTGCAAGTTTGCGGTGGGCCGGTCCGTTACCGAAACTCCCTACTTGGTGCTGGTGCGTTGGCTAGCGACGGTACCGCCGGCGGTACAGCGTAGGCGCGATGCAGCTCGAATGCAGCACAGCAAGCCGCAGGTCCGAGCGGTGCCGGTGCCAGATGAACCAGCTGAAGCGGCATTACAGACACCAGATCTGGAGCGGACCAACGTGCAGGCGGTGTATGAGGACATTGCGGGTCACTGGGACCACACGAGGCACTCGCCATGGCCGCGCGTGGCCGACTTTCTGGGCAAGCTAGCGCCAGGTAGCTTGGTCGCAGATGTCGGGTGCGGAAATGGCAAGTATATGCTGGTGGCCCCGCCACAGTGTGTGATGTTGGGTAGCGACGTGTGCCGAGGCCTGGTCGAGTTGTGCGGTGAAAAGGGTTTGGAGGTCGCAACAGGGGATAACATGACGCTGCCCTATCGTGATGGCGTCTTTGACGCCGCCATCTCCATTGCCGTCCTACATCACTTCTCCTCGGCTGCACGACGGCGCCGGGCCATCTGGGAGCTGGCCCGCATTGTTCGCCCAGGCGGACTGGTCCTTGTTCAGGCCTGGGCCTTGGAACAGGTACGGTCTCGAATGTTTATTTATTTTTTATTTTTTTTCTTTTGTGGGTGTGTGTGTGCGTGCGTGCGTGTGTGTGTTTTGAGAGTGTGTGTGGATGTGGCTGTGACGGTGTTTTGAAGTTCCTTGTTTGGTAATACTGCAAGGTGCCTGATGGCGCAACTGACCCCTATCCACCCGTGTGCCACGTGATGACGGCAGGGCGCCGAGTCCAAGCGTGAGTTTCCAGCACAAGACATTTTTGTGCCGTGGGTCCACAACGCTGAGTTTGAGCAGAATCGTGCCCCAGTGGCCAAGCCAGCCTCCTCCGACGAGGCTTCGACCGAGTCTGCCCCGCGAGTGTACGAGCGGTACGTGGTCGACTGGCATGGGGCCTTGAATGCGGGTCTCTGCTTTGAAAGGATCATGCTTCCTGTTTCTTCTGGCTTCATTGCTATGGTTCTCACTTGGTCCCTCTCTAGGTATTGTCACGTGTATTGTGAAGGCGAGCTGGGCGAGCTGGTAGAGAGCACAGCACAGTTTGAAGTGCAAGAGTGCTTTTACGATGCTTCCAACTGGTGTGTCATTGCGCAGCGGTGCACATGATAATTCTGTGAGACCTGGCGCGGGGTGTGTGCGGGCTGCACGAGGATCTTCTACATCAAATCGAGCTATTCTTTTGAAATAATGTGAATCCAATGGGAATCCTGTGAATCCAATTCTGAAAAGGCTCTTGGACAGAACAGGCGGGTTGTCCACACTGTGTGGACAGGTAACCAACCAGTGGTAGAGTGGGGCCGCACGGCGGCCAGACCCGGGGCTTCAGGGGGGGCGCGGGTCAAGAATATCACGCACAACTTTAAGCGGCCTGACCCGGGACCAGGGTGGCAAAAGCCAAGAGATCAAAGGGGCGCAGCTGGGGTGACCAAAGCAGAACATGGGCGACAAAGAGGGCCGAGGTCAAGTGCCACAGGCATTGCCAGCCGACCCAGGACCAAACGTGGGGGGTGGGGGTTGAGCGAGCCGCATGGAGTGGGGCAGTGGCGAGGACGGCAAGGGCCAGGTCGATGGCGTATTGTGCCAGGGCCTTGTCAGCATGAAAGTAGGCGGATGCGGCGACCACGGCTCCACTAGTGGCGAGCCATCGATCGAGCTGAGAGGCGTGACGCTGCGACAGATAGGGCGTACTGAGCGTCCACCACGGCGGCTCGAGCAGACTGCCGTCGGCCAGACAACTGGCCGCTGCGATGGCCGTAAAAAGGAGGGCAGAGGCACGGTAGTATAGACCATCGTGCCAGTGACTGGCAAAGGCTGCGGCAGGAATCAAATACAACCACGAGGAGGCACCGACAACCAGGCTTTGCAGGTGCGATTTGGCGCGAAGGGGCAAGACATGGCGCGTATCCGCCTATAGAACCAGTGGGGAGCCAAGTAAGGATGGGTGGGCCACGATGGCAGTGAACGAGATGGGAGGGGAGGGGGCGGTTGAACCCAGCACATACGCGGCTCGTGTCAGGATGGCTGTAGCCTCTGAGGAGGTTCAACTGGTGCCGGGCAAAGGCCAGCATTTCGCTCAGCACCATGTCACTGGGACGACGACAGGTTGAACAATGGATTTGATCGTTGGATCAGGACATTGTCAGCTGGAAAATGTCAGCATCGTGTCTACACAAAAGGAAACATGGCCATCTGCAGAGGCACTACTATGGATGAGTATGGCATTGGCATGGTGTGCACATTCGGGATTTCAAGTCATACAAGAGAGCCACATAGGTTCGTTTGCAATTTCAATTGATAGGATGCAAACGTTTGAGGGGTAGAGAGAAAAAAAAAGGGGTAGGGGTTATAAAAACTTCTATTACCGCGAGCAGCAACCAATAAATTGTTTCAGGCCCATCATAAAAAGGGCGAGAGAACAAGCGCGCACGCAAAAACAAAAGCGATGGCAACGGCCGACGACTTAAGAGTCGTAGGTGCAGATGCCAGTGCTGGAGATGGACTTGCAGCTGGCCTTGTTGGGGCAGCCATCGTCCTCAGAGCTGGGGTCGCAGATGAGAGCGCACATGGTGGGGGTGGACGAGCCAGAGGTCTCGAGGACGCACTCGGGGCGGGCGGTGGTGCCAGCGGGGACATCCTTGGTGCAAGTCTTGGTCACAACAAGGTTCTCGCACTTGGGGGAGCAGAAAGAACCAGAGATGCCTTCAATCTGGATGGCCTCCTCATCGGACATGCAAGAGCCAGAGTTGGGGTCACCGTAGTGGTGCTGGCCGGAAGGAGGAGAGGGAGGGGAAGGAGGAGAGGGAGGGGAAGGAGGGGAAGGAGGGGAAGGAGGGGAAGGAGGGGAAGGAGGAGAGGGGCCAGAGCCGACAATGGGGTAAGAGGGCTGCATGGCAATGCCGCAGATACCAGAGGCGGAGACACCACGCTTCATGTTGATGTAACCCTCAACACCCCAGGTGGTACCCCACGAGTTCTTGACAATCCAGTAGTCATCGGTGTAGCCAACAACGAGGACACCGTGGTCGAGGTTGGTGCCGCAGTTGCCGTCAAAGACACCAGACTTGTAGAGCTGGAAGCCAGACTGATCGGCCTCAATGGCGACGGAGACGGGACCCTTGGCGACGGCAGCGGCGAGCTGGTCCTCGTTGTTCTTGGGGACATCGCTGTAAGAGCTGATGGTGGCGGCGTGCTTGGCCTCCTTCTCCTTGTTGCAGGTACCGTCCTGGGCGGTGTAGGGGTAGTCCTCCTCGGTGTCAAGACCCTTGTTGGAGATAATGTACTTGAAAGCATCGTCCATCAGACCACCGTTGCAGCCCTGGTTGCCGAAGGAGCCAGAGCAGTCAACGAGCTGCTGCTCGGAGAGGGAGACAAGGTTACCGGTGGCAATGGCGTGGGCACCCTCGGTGGAACCGGTGGTGGAGAAAGACCAGCAGGAACCGCACTGGCCCTGGTTCTTGATGGGGGTGACGGCACCCTTGGTGCGCCAGTCGACAGAGTCCTCGGAAGTGGCGGGAAGGTAGACGGTGTTGTAGGGCATGGTGCGGTTGAACTTGGAGGGAACGTACAGGGCCATGAACTCGTCAATGGTCAGATCAGCGAACTCGTTGACACCAACGGTGTACGAGTGCAGACCCTGGGCATGCTCGGCGTTGTGCTTGTTGATGAACTCAAGGTTGGCCTCGAAAGCAGCCAGGCGCTTGGCCTCGACAGCCTCGGACTCGTACGACTTCGAGTAGTCAGACTTGAACTAAAGTAAAGGGAGGGCAGAACGGCCGATGAGATCTCGCGCCTCACTAACGTGCTGCGCAACGCTCAAGGCTGTCAAGGGCGGTGCAACTAACCTGCTCGAACATGCGCTGCGTGGAGAGCTTGAAGGCAGCGGGCTGGGCGGCAGCCACAGCCACGAGGGCGACGAGGGCAAACTTGGCGAACATGGTTCCGGTGGAGGATGTTCCGCAAGAAAATGCCAGTGACCGGGACAACCGTCCAACAAGTTGCGCGCCCGTCGACTAAACCAGTGGATTATCAGAGGCGGGAGACGGAGGTGGGGGGTGAAGAAGGGCCCTTTGGCTTATTCCTCAGTGAACCACCCCTTAGGGCAAAGGTGTTTTTTTTTGGAGGAAGCAAGTTCCTTAGAGGTCAAGGTCAAGCAGGAGAAGGAGGAGGAGAAGGTCAAGGGTGGAGAAGGAGGACAAGTTTTTCTTCGAAAACCAAAACACAAGGGTTGAGTGGTATGCTGTTTTGTGTCGACGACGATCAATAGGGTGTGCTTGCTTGACGGGGTGGGCCCCTTGTGAGCGTATGACGTTTTGAGTTGTGGGGCATCATATCATCAAGACATCATAGGTGAAGGGCACTTTTGGAGCAGAGATGTGGGTATGCGACGCTGATTTCAGGTTGAAGAAGCAAGGTAAACGACGTGGGAGCTCAGAGAGTGTGTGTTTCAAGGATTTGGAGGAGATGAAGGGGGCTGTCCTTCAAGCCAACAAGGGAGAAGGCGCCACAGGTTGTGTGGTTGAAGATCAGGAGAACAAAGGGTCGCTGCAAAAAGGGAGGCGAGCTTCTTTGGAGGATCGGTGAGGCTTTGGAGCGAGAGTGGAAGGGTCGAAACAGGAGCAGCGGTGCTTCCAACACGGTCCATGCTCGTGTTGGTGTTGGGATCAGCTTCTCTCTGACGCACACCCAAACCTTACTCCATAAGTAACTAAGGTGCAAGCAACCCAAAGCAGTCATTAGGGAATTTTGGAGGAGAGCGTAACGTATACCTTTTGAATCGATTTCCGACCAAAAATAAGTACATTTTAATTACAAAAACAAACGCTCGTCCAACCTCTCAGCTCCACAATCACAGCCAACAAACAACCAAAGCAAGAGAGGGACAGAGCACCCGTCAAAACATGTCCAGAGTTGGGGGTCCGAATCGGGTCCATTTTTGGTCCCCGCCCAAATCCTGGCCACGAAGACAGTGAACATTGCCGGTTCATTTAGGGCCCATTCGTGTGCGCACAGGAAATGAGTGCGGACAACTTTAAAACAAGCCCACTGGTGAATGCTGGACGACGCTGACAAGCGCCGGTCCGGGCCGGTCCTAATGGAAAACACACACGAGGCAAGGTGGGCCCCAGAACCCAATCAGCACATCAGGATTTCAGCAGATGCGATCAGCAGATGCGCAAAGGAGTCAACCGATCGACCCCAGCCTTTTCGCCTTTTCGCGCGCGCGCGCACGCACACGCACGCACCTCGGATGTGGGCTGACCAATGACCGACAACATGTCATCCAGCTCCTCTGCCGTGCGAGCCAGCAGAAAGACAGCCAGCGATGGGTCCAAATCGTCTCGCTCAATGCCCGACAGCTTGGAGGTGTGAAACGAGTCCCGGACTTCGACCCATCGATCCCGAAGCTCTGCCGTGGACTGTGCAACCGCCGCAGAACAGCGATGGGGATCCAACCCAAAGTACTGATGCCCTGCGTACCCGTCGGCCAAAAAAAAAAAAAAAACGTGTGTGAAAAATCAAGGAAAAAAAAAACGGTGGCGTGTCCCACCGATGCAGTCGCCAAGACCTAATTCCAACCTTGATAGCCAAAAATATACATGGCCCGCTTGTCGTGCCCGCCAATAAAGCCCATGCACCACGGCTGACGCAGCAAGAGCTGAGCCAAAGTGTCCATTTCCATGGCACGCAATTAGATTTTACGACCCAATAAAATGATGAAAACACACACACATTCCAATTCCGGGGGCAATGTCGCATGACTGCCACCGTGATGGCCCCAGCCTGCTATCAGTGCTATCAGCGCGCATCTTACCTGCAAACGTGCATGATACTGGGGCCCAATCTTCTCAATTCCTGCACATCGCCGAGTTGCGCGTCAAGCAATTGATGCCCCTCCCCCAACTCATGAGATGGAAAACCCACAAACACACTTGCAAATTGACATGCGTTGACACGCTGGAGCAAGTGCGAGCTCAATCAGAACAGGGCAGACCCAGCTCACCCAGTCGTAGAGGTAAAACCAGCATAATTGGCTCAAACTCGGCTTGTCCTTCTTCAGGCCGCAACTATGCATCCGCACACATCAGAGGGCCACGGAATCATGAGCCTCAACCAGAAAAAAAAAAACCAAAAAAAAAAAGCCGCGGGCGGACCATGCAAAGACCACGTGCGGCGCCGTCGCAAGACACAACCAGAGGAGAACCACTGCAACAAGAGGGCAAGCAGACCTGATCGAGGATCACCAAGGTGTCTGATGCAAAGTAAGTCTAGCCATATGCCAACCCAGTCGCCGATCGCGAGTAAGTATGGAATAGAAGAGAAGCGATTCGCTTGCCCCAAGTCAAATGCGCAGAGCATCTCCGAGCGTCCGGACAACTTGCTTACCCGAAGCTTGACTTCCTCGTCGCGAAACTGATTAAGTTGTGCAAGCGCTGAGGGCACCTGATGCCTGCATTCATCCAAAGCACCATCCCCGCGGCATTAAATATCGTTACATGTTGGCAAAGACTGGAGGCGAATCGAAGCTCAGGCGACACCATAAGCGCGCCCGGCCTTTACGACAACCCCCGTCATTTGACGTACAGCAGGGCCGAGCCAACGGATGACGGTCCTTGGAATCGTCCTGCCTTGAGATGATGGTTTTCCATTGTATATTTGAGTAAGTGATGAACTGTGACACGAGGCCAGAGCGCCATTGCGTGAGCGAGGATCGCAACCCAGAGCTCGCTCTCAAGACAACAAAGGAAGGGAGGGCGTCGGGTGCAGAGCCGCTGTCATCCCCAGTGGAGTTGCCGCGCGTGCGATTGGTCGAGACAAACTCACGGGACAAGGGCGTATCCTCCTCGTCGAGATCCAGAAAGAGCGCAATCACCTAGGGTGAGCACACGGCCCCAGAGGCACCGCCAGACCATGAGCGGACGAGGAAGCAAGCATCAAGGGGTCTTCGCACGTTCTGTCGGCTGTACAAGCCAGCCACCCGCACCGGAAAAAGAACTGCGTCTGAGTCTGGCAGTGGGTCGGATGTACCACTCTGTCGGCGCCACTCTGCGCGATCGCACCAAGGACCAACCAGCAAGCAGAAGCCGAGACCGGCCGATTCGATCAGTCAAGCGGAACAAGCAGGGCCAGTCACAGGGGTGTCAGCAAAAGGGCGAGCCTTGTGATACAGCCAGCACCCGCACACAAGAATAAGCTTGTGCGAGTTGACCGCGAGACGCACCCCGAGGTTGCAGCACAGCCATTAAGGTTGTCGCCAGGATCATTTGCCCACAGCGCAGCATGCAGCCCCAGCCCACATCCGTGGTCCTTCGCGAGGATGGTAGCGGCGGAAAGTCCTGCCAGCCCAGAGGACCGAGCATCACGCCAAAGCATTGCAACCTTGTCAGACCAGACGGTTTGGGCACCAAGCAATCCATCCAGACTCGGCCCCAGACCTGTGACGATTGGCAGCACACAAAATGACGAGCACCTACCTTGCGATAGGTAAACCAGATCCGCGTTGCAACGTCATCTTCGAGTTGCTGGGCAAACATCCGCAACGCCTCCCGCGCCGCCGCCTGCTCTTCCTCTGGTGCCTCTTTATCTGGTCGCGGTGGCACTTGGTAAGCCGCCCCCAACAGGAACATCATCTCCCCCGTCCGAATCTCGGCCGTGTTTCCAATTCGATATCGCGTATTGTTCAACCAGGACAGAAACCTGGCGAGCACAACAACAGGCCCGAGGCACCAAACCGTCAACGTAGCAAGACATGACACAGGTCAGACCTCCCCCACAATATCGAGTCTCCCATGTTCCCCCCGACCCTCTGATCACCACCCAATCTGCCCGCCTTGTCTGCGCCACGAGTCCGCTGCCAGCGATTCATACCCGGTGCGAAAAGAAGCCATGGCGACGGGAAGTTGCGGCGCCAAATGCTGCCATCCAGCTGCCGTGCCCACCAAGCCCAGGAACAGCCAAAGTGCTGCACTCCAAGACGCGCCGTCAAGAAAGGCGGCACTGACAAGCTCGGATGCACCTCCCTCTTGGAAGCTGCCGCTGTAGCTCATGCGGGCATCTGATCCGCGGCCTCCCGCGGCTTACCCACCAACCAACATTACTCAGCACCAGGCTCCAGAATGATACCCAGCGAAGAGCCAACCCCGCTCGGGCACAGAAGCTACCGTAAGCACAGGCGACCACCGTCTCCAAATACACACGCTCACGCCACACCTTCCTGATGCATGCATGTGTCGTGCTCGTCTGCCCCCCTCTCTCTCTGTTGCTGTGTGTGTGTGTGTGTGTGTGTGTGTGTGTGTGTGTGTGTGTGTGTGTGTGTGTGTGTGTGCAAATCATTCACACATTCATTCATACGCACACACACTCTCTCTCTCTCAATCTCTCTCTTGCTCTCTCAAACTCTCTCTCTCTCTCTTTCTCTCTTGCTCTCTTTTGCGCGTTCTTGTTCAAGAGTAAGATGATCGGGGTCAGCCTTGAAGCCTTTGGCAGTGCCGAGCTCTGGGCCAACTAAGGCTGCCAAAACGCCAGCATCCGACTGCCAGTTTTTGGTTTTTTTTTGTTTTTTTCACGACCATGACCGTCAAGTCAAATCTTGCACACGTAAGCGACGTGAAGCGGGCAGCTAAAGTATACATACCCCTTCAAAGCAAACCGTCGGATCCCAATTATGTACTGTCTCACTGGTTTCGCCCCCTGGTGTTTCGCCTTTTTTCTGCTGCTGCTTCTTCTCGGTGATGACGGGCAAAGGGCAGCCGTCTGGTCGTGCCGTTGCCCTCACACTAACAGCTGTACAGGGTCTGTGCGGCCCGCATCATTGACAAGCTTTATTGATTGCCCTTGTTCAGCAGGGCGTCGGGCGGTTGAAGAGGCTTGCTGGCCCCGCGAAAGCGAAACTTGTTTGCGCTCACTGGGAGAGCTCCCGTCTCCCCCGGCTGACACCGACCGTGTCCTGCCGTGAGACCCTTTGATCGAAACATCTGCTGAGACGCACTGCACTGCTCCGCCAAGGACCCTGGCGCACAATCATCATGTCTCAACCTCCCCCTTCCAGCTTTTCCACCCAGCCTGGCTGGAACGTGACAGCTACCGCCCCGGCTGGAACGGTACGACAGGCGCACGACCCAGCCCTCATGGCCCATCATCATTGGCCCGCGCGCAAGTCGTGCCCGCACTGCGCCAGCCCGCTCACCACGTCACCTTGACCTTTCTTTTCTTTTCTTTTTTTCCTTTTCCCTTTATTTCATTGTTTTCGCTTTTCCGTTATTCTGCATGGACCATGATCTTCACTGGGCACCTGTGCAGGCCCAACCTCAGCCGACCTGGAACGGCTACAACTGGACGTACCCATACAGTGCATATTACCCGTACTCCAACTACTCAGCCGCCTCTTCAGCTTCAGCAGCCTAGTATGTGTGCCAGGGGATCGTCCTCATCGCCGCCAGCCACGCCGGTGCGCCCACTCTCACCACACCCATCCCATCGACGCCCCCCGTAGTTACGGACAAGCTGCAGCTCCGCCGCCACCCCCACCCCCACCACCGGCCGGGCAGACCGCACCGGCCACCGCCAACACTGGCACAGCGGTACGTAAAACCTGACAGCGTCGAGCACCATCGTACAACCCTACTCTTTTCGGGGCTCGTTGCTCTGCTGTCTACGCTCATCTTCGCACGCAACTGGGCGACACACCTTCCCCGCTTAGACGGCTTCCTATGCGCAAGCGGCAGCGGCTAGCACTGCACATGTGCAAGCCGCCCCCACCTACAACTACGCATACGCACATGACTACAGCCAAGGCTACAGTGCCGCCTATCCCGCGCCTTCCGCTGCCAACACGGCGCCGCCACCCATGCCCCCGCCACCTGGCATGCAACCCACCAATCCCGCCGCCTCGAGCGCCCCACCCAATAGTAGCTCCGCCAACACCTGGGCTTGGTCCACGGGTCGCCAACCTACAGCCGCGCCGAATCAAGCAACCCAGGCTGCCGACTCGGCACCTACCACTTCCCCGGCGAAACCCAAGGGAACGAGCGGCATTAGCTTCAACATCAAGCGACAACCCAAAAAAACCGCCGCCTTTCAACCGGCATATACCAGCGTCGCCAACCTCAATGCTCCAAAATCCCTGGCCACGAAACCAGCTCTCGCTCCGACCCCTGCACCAACCCAGGCAGCCACCACGTCCGGCAAAAGGCCGCCCATCCCGCTTGATGCCCAAGCCTACGTGTCCCGCGCCTTTACAGCCTGCAAATCTGACAAGCAACGCGAGCAGGTGAAAGAATATCTGCGCGAACTGTTCAAGCAACCACCCGAAGCCATTGCTGCGCGCAACTGGGAGCAAGAGCCCCTTCCCTCGTACGTGCCAGGACGGCGACGACAGTCAAAGGGTGGTTCATGTGAGAGCAACCTTCCTATCGCCTCACTCATCCACCATGTTTGCATCGCAGAATCTTGACAGGCAACAAGAAAGCTGCCAAGCGCAGGTAGGCTGTCTTGCAGCCGGGCCATCACCTCCTCCTGCCTGCACCGTCTCGCCCCGCTTCTCACCCCGTGCCCGCTGCCACCTGCTGCTCCAGCACCAACCTGGCCTCGAGTCCAATCTCGCTTGCCAGCCGCGCCAACCGCTTTGCAGACAGCCGGCCCGGCCCACCCCTCTCCAAGCGAGCCAAGAAGAAGAAGAAAAAACTCAATTTAACCAATGAGGTGAGTGTTGGTCGGCACTCTGTGGTCGACGCTAGCCGTACGCCTACATCGCGAACGACCGGCGCGCCTGCATCGACTTGAGCACCTTCTAGCCACCGTCCCTAAAGCTCTCTCTTGATAACTTTGCCATGTTAGGGTGGAGAAGAAGGCACCCGCTTCAGCCGTGCCATCATTGTGGGCACGTGTACAAAGTTGGAAAAGGAGTTTTTCCGCCTCAACGAAGCGCCCGATCCGGCCTCTGTTCGTCCAGAACACATCCTTCACAAATCCCTGGCGAACGTCACAAAGTAAGCTTATCGCGCCTTCTCGAAATTTTGTCGGCCGCGGACGGTTTTGGAGTGAGCCGCTTCCCCACCGAAGCTCATGGCATGGCTTCTTCATTCCTCGGTGGCATGTTGCGTTTTGTAGAAAATACAAAGATGGTGCAAGCTACAAATGGGTTTGCAGTCAACTCAAGTCGATTCGCGTGGATCTCATTGTGAGTGCCTCGCACCAGTTGAAGGCGGCTGTCTCCCCGTCAGTCTTCCCCCCGGGCCAAATCACGCTTCGTCCGCATTTAGGTCCAACGTATTCGCAATGCCTTCACGGTCAAGGTCTACGAAGTGCATGCGCGCATCGCAATTGAAAAGGCAAGCAGACTTGCAATTCGTCCCCGCCTGGACCCCAACTGCCCCGTCTCAGCCTTGAAAACCCCTTTGCTGTAGGGCGACTTTGATGAGATGCATCGTTGCCAAGCCCAGCTGCGCCAGCTCTACGACGCGGGCGTCGAGGTTTGTCGTTGGGCATCGTGTATTCTGGACGCTCGCCGACCTCCGTCGCTGCCCACTGTGCCTGCTCAACCAATATGGGCATGACGATCTTTCAGGGTTGCCAAGACGAATTTACGGCCTATCGTCTCTTATTTCTGGCGGCCAAGTCGCGCTATCAAGACATCCTCGTGGCCATGTCGGACCTGACGCCTGAAATGAGGTCGCACCCGGCCATTAGCCATGCGCTACAAGTGCGGCGGGCATTGGCCCTGAACAACTTCAAACGGTTCTTTGCTCTTTACCAGGTCGGTACCCGATGCTAGCCTGGGCAAGCGAGATGTGAGGTACCAGTAGCCAATGCTCGGCACTGGTCCTGATCACTTTCTGTTTGACATGTCGAGTTTAGAATGTCCCCAACATGGGAGTTTATTTACTAGACCTCTGCCTGGATCGTGTACGGCGCGAGGCGCTTATCGTGCTGGCCAAAGCGTACGTGAATTTTGCCTGCCATCTGCAATGATTGAGGCTGTGGCAGTCACGAAATGGAGCCGTGAAATTGCGCCGCCTCAAACATAGCTTTTTGAAAGTGAATCAGCGGGGTGTGCTAAATGGTTTAAATGCTTGATTTTGCTTGTAGAATCCGACCCACTCTGAGCGAGGCCTTGCTGCGAAGTTCTCTGATTATAGATGTCGCTCCTCCTGTGGTTGAGGACAAAGAGGGCAACCCTGTTGCGGGCGATGCGCTTGCTGCGTGGCTGAGCCAACTCAATCTCTCACTCACTCCCAAGGGCTTGGACTCGAAGGCTGCCAACGTTGCTCTTGGACCGATTGACCATGTGCAACGTGTCTTTAACATGGATGCGTGAATTGCCGACTTGGGCGGCCACGTGAGAGTACATTCTGACACCTGCCTGAACCATGAATTGAGCTCTTGGACTCATCACGCGAGGAACAGGTCGAATGGGTTGCAGAAACCAAGAAAAAAAGGAAAAAAAAAAAACTTGAAAAAAGAAGATTTGATTTGACATCAAGACGACAACATGAACGAGGCACAAAAGGAGGAAGAAAGCAGGGTGAGGCAATAGGGCAGAATGCGACCGGTGTTCACACTGTGATACTGGGATAAGACATTGGACTGCTGGTTAGTTTGTGCTGTCACCGCCGTTGCTACCATCGCTGCCCTCCGGTGGGCGCTGGGGTGAGTCCTGGCCTGTACTGGTTGAAGGACTGGCATCCATCATGGAAAGCCGGATGGCTTCCTGCAGCATGGCGTCCTCCTGCTCCTCCAAAGACCTGGCGCAAAGCCGTCAAAAAGAAAATTGAGGCCATGTCGCTATAAACCTCATACAACCTCGAAAAGAAGAAACCAAGAAGGGAGTGCACCTACCTGCCAGGATTAGCAGCGCTACCACCAAAGTTGCCCCCAGAAAAGCTGGAGGCCAACGAGCTCAACATCTAAGAGTCGACAAGAACGGGGAACATTGAACATTGAGAATGGGCAACCTCGCATGGTTGGATTTTGGAAAGCAGGGCAGGCTGGACTCGGCGGCGACTGACCTCTGGGTTGCTTTGCAGTTGTTGGGCAGCAGCTTGCATTTGTTGCATCATGGCTGGGTCACTGAACATGCCGGAGAGTGGCGAAGCACCTGATGCGTCGGACGCGCCGGATGCGCCAGCCGCGCCTCCAAACCGTGACATCATGCTCTGCAGGGCCTGAAATGCGCGAGTAGAATAGGCGGGCATGAGCTGGATGAGTCTGTGGCATACCCCCTATCCCTAGAGATTCAGGCTTAGGGGAAAAGGAGGCAAGGGCGGAGAGCCATAAGATTGGGAAGCAGACCTGAGGATCTTGCATCATCTGTTGGACCTGAGGCATGATGGTCCGCATGTACTGAAAGTCACGACAACAGCGTCAGGCGAGCCCGCGGGGTACACTGGCAAGACCATCGTTGGGCGAGTGCTCAAAAACAGACCTCTGGATTGCTCATGAGCTGAGCAACCATGGGGTTGTTCATCATGTCCGCCAGTCCTTCCATGGATGGCATGCCTATCCAGAGGTCAGGTTTGGTGGCGACCCACACAGGACGGAAGACACGAACGGTTGAGGGGACAGAGTTGGCAAAGAATTGAACTTTTGACTGTGATGGCGGAAAGACCCGCAGCAGAGGAAGATGCCTGCTGCGCAGCGACGGACAAGTCACGCACCACCGGGCATGTTACCAAAGGCAGGGAACCCGGCTCCAAAACCAGATCCGGAAGCAGCAGAGGCGGAGGAAGCAGGTGCGGGAGAGCTGAAGGCCACAGACGAGTAATGAGATGTGTGAGCATAGCAAGCGCAGGCCGACGGTGCGCGGTGCAAACAAAAGTCAATCGACAGCGAGGAAACGGAGCAAGCGACGGAGCTACGCGGCTTGGGGAAGGACTCACGCGCCAACTGCTGCAGAGAGCATGTCGCAGACGGCACGCAAGTTCGGGTTGACTTGGCGCACAAACATGGAACCGGGCTCCTCTTCGCTGTCCTGGAAGCCCACCACCCTGTCGAGGTTGGGTCATTAAAAAAACCATGAGGGTCGCGTCTCGGAAATGCCTTTATACTATGCTATCATCTTTGTGTTGACTTGGCGCCTGGACCGGCAAGACCACGCACCGGAGCGCATCTGCTCCGCCGTCAAAGCGAAACAAGCGCTGCTTGAGGGCGTCGTTCTCGAGTCGCACGCGCTTATATTTGGGGTCGTCTGGGTGATCACACAAGTTCTGAAGCAGCCGGGCCACGGTCTTCATGGCTACGAGAAACTCTTCGTGGGATGCCGAGCTACAGCACGCGAGGGGGTGAGCGGTGACGAAGAAGTGAAGCGTTGGAGTGAGTTGATGGCACCGGGTGGCTAGCGGCCCGGCCCGCTATCCCAGGCATTCGGCCAAGACAGGTCAACACCAACCGTTTGATGCGTTCCAGGGCAGCCTTGACACCCTCAATAAGCTTTTGCTTGGATGGGAGCTCCTCAGCTGTGCTTGAGGGTGGCGCACTGGTGCCTGGCTGGCGACCCACGTAGATGGTGGCACCCGAGGCCACGTTCAACTGGCTGAGCTGGTCTTCATCCTTGAGCTTCTTGCCTTGGCAAATGAGCATTTGAGCGTCGATCGGACAATCCTCGCGCTGGGCAGCAATGAGTGCCTTGAGCTCGGCCGTGGTCGTCTCGCCGCCCTTGGGCAGCTCCACTGTGAACTTGGCCTTGCCCCCGACTACAAGAATGTTAAGCTGAAAAGCCATGTCGCCAGTGTTCACCGCTATACCGCCGGGCTCCTTTCTACCCAACCACTACCTCCACCCCGTCGTCCTTAGCCCCCCCCCGTTCGCGTTCAGATGCCACGCCAGCCACTGACTGCTCGCCTCGCTTTCTCGCCGCCGCCGCCGTCCGTCGTCCTCAACACACACACACACACGAAGAAAAGCACGGAAGCACGAAAATGTCTGACATTTGTTGGAAGAAGAAAGAAGAGATGTGTTCGAGAAGAAAGCAAAAGCTGGCCAAAATTGGTACGCAAACGCCAGTTACTCAGAGAGTGTGTGTGATCGAGAGAGAGAGAGAGGGAGGAAGCGGTAACACACACGTCACACCTTGCATTTGTCAGACGTTCCATGTCGCGGTCAGAATCTGACATTGACTTCCAAGGTTAGCATCGTCACCGGCGCGCGGGGGCCTTGTTCGAGTTGAGCGTGTGGCTGAGCGTGTGGCCGGTGTGTGTGTGTGTGTGTGTGTGTGTGTGTGTGTGTGTGTGTGGTGGTCTTCATGTCTTCATGATGGATACTGGGCTGGCTTGATAGGGTGCGCAAGGTGTTTGCAAGTTGTGCGGGGAGGTCAATCGACGCCCTGTTCCCTAGCCAAGTTTTGGGTTGATGCACAAATCGTTTCAGGATGGCAGAGGCTTGGAATGGCATCTTGGGCTACATCTTGGGCCTGAGCGGCGCCACCTGCACGTTTGCCCCAGAGCTTTTTCGGTGCGTACCGCAGTGCCATCTCCACTCGAAAGCCCATCTTCAGCGTGGCACCTGTTGTCGTTTGATGCCGGCTCTACGTGACCGTCACCGACCCCAGTCTTAGTGTACAAGACGGACATGTCGCCGTGGGTACCGTTGCGGCCCTAACCGGCGCCGTCGCTGTGTATAACGGCCTCTTTCGGAAAAAGCAAGCGTCTCAAGCCTATCTCATCTCCACGGCCCTGGGTGCTCTTTCCAGCACCGGCATCATGCTGGCCATCTATCGCCCAGAGTGCGCCTCGTACCTTCTCCCTTGCCTTGCATCATGCTACTGCGCCTGCCTGGCCCTTGAAATGCTCATCGCGCCGGACATGGTGCTCGATACCCTAGGCACTGGCGGTTTGGGGCCTACCTCGGGTTTATGGGCTTTTTCCACTGCTCGGAATATGTCATGACCGCCCTCTACAATCGCGACGTCCTTTCTTTCGACTGTAAGAGCGTGCTCTTCCCCCCCCCCTTGCAGCGTTATAGGTGTCCGTCGGCAACCTGATGCAGCAAGGCTGGAGACTTCCTGGGTGATGCGTTTTGAAGAAAAGCAACGAAGCGCAGCCTGGATCTCATTGGCCAACCTTGTGCCCTGCTCCCATAATAGCCTTTCTCATCAACCACAGTCGAAGCTATCACGTGGCAGCGCTCAGCTGTTGCATCGAGTACTACTTGGAAATGCGCTACTGCCCCATCATCAAGTCGCTGAACATCATCTCCTACGCCGGTACGCACCTGGCGCGATCCAGCTGTATGCCAATCAGCCTCTGATCATGTATGCCATGCGTGCACGCGGGCTTGGGCCTGCTTACACAGGGCTGGCCATGGTCGGCTTGGGCGAGGCCTTCCGCAAGCTGGCCATGTGGACGGCGGGCAGCAATTTCAAGCACATCGTGGCCACCAACAAACTTGAGAGCCACGAGCTCGTCACCACAGGCATTTACAGGTCTGTGCGTGCCCACGATTACCCTCGAATGGACTCTGCAACCCCCTGCTGATGCGCCCCACGCTCTGTTCTGCCATGCCCTGTTCTCTTTAGCTTGTGCCGCCACCCAGCCTACGCCGGTTGGTTCTGGTGGGCTGTGGGCACGCAAGTCCTCCTCTGCAACCCCTTTTGCTCGGTAGGGCCGCGTTCCAAGATTGCTTTTTGCGTCGCTTTGCACGCCGGCACCAGCTTACACCTGGGGCCAATCTTGCACCATCCGGCCTAACCTTCCTAGATCGCGTATGGCTGGGCGGCCTACCGCTTCTTTGCTGACCGACTTGAGTATGAAGAATATCATCTGCTGCTGTTCTTCGGCACGCAGTATCACCGCTACCAACAACGAGTGCCCACTGGTGTTCCCTTTGTGCAGGGTTACGTCGCCCGGGAACAGCTCCTCTCCTATCTCACAGCCCGCGAGCAAAGCGCTGCTACGAGCTCTTGAAACCCTCTGCCGCCCTTTTGACATTTGGGCAGAGTTTGTGCACTCACTTCCATAACATGTAGCAGCACCCAGAGCCCTTTCAATTCCATTTCCATTTACATTTCCTTTAACATGACGCCAACCCCCTCAGCTCCGACCCTGTTACTGATTGATGCATTTCCATGTTGATGACTTGACAATGTGATCCAGAAAGTTTGTCTTGCTCTCTCTCTCTCTCTAAAGACTTGACACCTTGCTCAAATACGCATCAGCTCGTCATGCGGGGGTGCTGGTGGGGTACAGAACCAGCTCGGGGTCGATATATACATGACATGGGTGGCGCGACAGGTTCAGTATGTGCAAGAGCGGATCCATGTCTGGTCTCTAAACACCCATGGACCAAACGATGTATGGCTTCACCCAACATGAATCAGAAGGAATGCGTGTGCATCGCGTGGTGGCAGGGGAGCAATCAGAAAGAGGTTCAGACAGTGTAAATTTCGGATGGCGGCACGCTTGTCCCCGCTGCCAATCTGAGGTAAGGCACCAGACTTGCTGGACGAAACAGGATCCGTCAAAATTTACGCCTGGACCTTCTTGGTGGCCTGAGAAAACATGCAAGAAAGGAATGAGTACGTGATCGCGACGAACTGGCAGAAAAGTTCCACACGACAAGAGCACCATGCGAACATGGACTCAATCCATAATAGTCAAAACAGAGCGCGCTGAACAGCAAAAGCCACCATGCACAGTGGGAGCGCAGGTAATGGGGGGCCAAGCACGGTAACATACAGCAGTGTTCTCGCGGAAGCCGTTCTTGAAGCGCTGCTGGACATCGCGCAGGTGTTTCATGCGGCCAGTGCCGGTGGTTTTGCGGCGGATGGCCTTGTTGCTACCGGCTAAGCACCCGCGAAAAACGCAATGATTCGTACAAGACGGAGACCAAATCAAAAGTGTGTGAGGCAACGACGATGTTGTTGGAGACCGGGGCAAACACCTTCCTCCCATGAACCGAGCTCAGCCTCGGGTGTCATCGAACAATACTACAACTGGGACAAGCACTTGGTGCCCCGACGTGCGGAAAGGTACTTACGAGAACGTTTGCGGGCACGGGGGTAACCGCATGCAGCGCAACGGCCCTTCTGGATCATGAAGGACGACTTGCCGCAGCGCACACACAGGGTGTGCGACTTGTTGTGCCGCTTACCAAAGCTGGACGTACCCTTGGTCTAAAAAGCCCGAAAAACCATGAACATTGAGTCAAGTGAGGAGGCAACCAAGACCAGGTCAATGGCATCAGCAGCTCGTCCTCAACATCAGCAAGCAAGCAAATTCCATGCGAGCCGTGGTCGTAGGTCACACGACACTGCCATCCCATGAAAAAGACGTGCGTGCGAGACCTGTCCGAGCGAGGAGCTCGACGAACGATGTCTCGTGGCCGTCCGGGCGGCAGCTTTGCGGATGACACGAGCTCTCGCTCGATGTCAAGTCACACGCGCCGTTGCGCTGCCGATTGATCAGACCATTCCACCGGACAGTGGGTGGGGGACGGTGGCCACCGCCCAAGCCACGAGGCTGGTTCGCGAGCTCGATCGGCTGGACGGGCGGACGGGACGGGATGGCGACGCTCACCATGTTGCCGGCTAAGGGGACAAAAAAAGTATCAGAGAAGGTTCAAATGTCGCATAAGATCACTGTTCAAAACACGTGTTCTCATCTTTATGTCTGTTTACAGCAAAAAAAGAAAACCAATGGTAAATGTCAGATCATTTGTTGACTCTGCCAGTCAACAAGGGTTTATTGAAGCCACTCGACGAGTTTGCGTCGCTATCAACACCACTATAAGCTAGATTCGTGTCTGTATGTGCATCAAAGTTGTTGCTGTTTGCGCCAAACCGAAAAAGTTTGAAAATTTCAAGCAACACCTCGGATCAAGTTGTGTGTGCTTTTCTCGAGGCGGTGAGCAGCGCGCAGGGGCGGTCGGAATGGATGCGGGGGTTGATAATGGATCGACGTAACCATGATAGAGGGGAGCAGGAAGAGGCAGGAAAGACCGGCAGGCACTTGTGTATGGTGAAGATTTGCCTTGATAGTGATCGTATTCAATCGAGGGGGAGATGTGCTTCAAAGCTGAGCTGAGCAGGGGCAATGGACGTGGCTTGAGGTCTGACGCACACGCCTGCGCCTTAAACATAGAACGGTGCTTTGATTTCCTCACTCGCCATGAGCAGTAGCAGTGGGGCACGAGGCCGCCGCGGTGGCGGCACCAAAAGCGGATCGACTGCAGTTCACGATGAAGACACTCGAGGCCGGCACTCCTCACGTTCCAAAGAGGAGCAGGCTGGGCGCGCACCGATTCCGCTCGAGCTGGGTGGCATTCGCTTGGTGTACGATGATGGTGTTTGGACCACCGGTATGTGCTGCGGGCTGCTGCATCTCGTATTGGGCCGTGGCAGCATGCATCCCGACCTGGCCTGGCAACAAGTCTTCCCCCCACCCTGTTGCTGATGAGGCTTGATCGCTGGCATGGCCATGGCGCGCGCGTAGAAAAGATGCCAGAAAACGTTTCAGAAGTGGACGTCAAGAAGCTGACGCATGATAACCGGCGTCTTCAAGAAGAAAACAATCTCCTCAAGTACAAGATTGAGGTGTTGATTGATATGGTACGTTGAGGCTTGACTATCTTGTCTGGAAACATCGCGAGTTGAGCGAGGGGCTGGGTGGAGCATGGTGCTGTGCCTTGAGAAACAGTGGTGCGTTGGGGTGACTTGAGAGTAAGCATGTTTGCTCCTAGTTGGCGTCTGACCGTGAGTGGGGGTGCACATTTTGAGGGTGGGCCCAGGCAAAAGTCGGGAGTTCAAAATGTGAAATGAATTAATCGTATTGGGTCTCCGGCACGAAATGGGATCGGGAAAGGACAGAGACAACGCGCAGCGCAGCTCGCGCGATGCTCGGACAAAACTCTACGCTTGAAGCCACCACGCTGACCATCGGCTGACCATGCATCCTCTTGTGGTGGCCCGCATGCGCCTGAACGTAGCTCACAGAAGCTCGGATTGAAGCCGAGGATATCGAGGAGCGACTTGATCATGAGAGCACCAACGGACACCATGGCAACAATCACAGCTCACGACGGTAGACCGGTGGCAGAGCACCCCAAACCAAGGGCGCCAAGCGCCAAGGCCATGGCAACGACCAACAGTAAAGAACCAGACGCCGTCTTCCGCTCTCTGGCCTCATATACGGCGTGGGGGTGAATGTGTGGCGACTCGCGACCTGCTTGAGTCACCACCATAAGCCCAGGACATCCAGGACAATTGAGATACACATTCAGCGCGACACTCGGACCAAATTCACGAAAACCGCAGCAACCACAGCAGTAGCCGAAAGCAGCTGGTGCTGGTCCAGGTAAGTTGAGTCGCCCACCGCAAATTGTACAGGGCATGAAAAACAAAATCAACCACTCGAAGCATGGACGCTTCGAGTTGTTCAACAATAAAACAGGTGAATAAGCAAAACAGGAAGCGCGGCTGCTCCGAAAATCATAAAAGGCAAAGGCCAAGTCAAGATCAGCGCAGCACAACGCGCAACAAAGAAAAAGATTTAGGCAAGCTGGAATGAACATGACGGGCGTCACTGTTGCGGAAGAACTCAAGCCGCAGCATTGGCCGATACGGTGCCTGGGGGCGTGTCCATCTGGAACTTGGCCTCAAGCGGGAACGGAGCCGTGTCAGGCTCCAATGCGCGCTTGAGCAGTTCGGGATGGCCTAAAGACTCCAAAGTGGAGAGAGCTTCCTGCACCAGCGCTCGCTTAACCTCAACATCATTCCAGATTTTGTTATTCTGACGGGTTGCGCGACGCGCAAACTCCTTTGCAATCATGCAGCGCGCATTTTCCTCCTGAAACACATGCATCCACCCGCCCGCGCCACCATGTTTATCCAAATGAGGCAGAGACACAGCAAAGCATTTTCACGACAGAAAAAGGATACAAACAAAAAAAAAGGGGGGGCAGAGGAGGGCCGGGGCCCGTCCAGACCCTGAATCAAGGAAAATAAAAAAAACAGGCGGCCTTGTTGGCAGGGACTGACCTCGCGAGACAGGCGGTGACGAGGCCGAGCCGCCGGCACGTTGAGCAGCTCCAGCAGTTCACGATTGGCCTTGGCCTCGATGGTATCCGCCGCATTCTTCTTGCCCTTGGACTCACGTGCTGCACCACGTGCCTGCACAAGGCTAGGCGCTGTAGCTCCAAACGATGATACCACTGAGCGAGTACTCGCTGCCAGTCGGCCCCAAACGGCCGTGCATCCTGTGACCGCTGCCATTCTCGAGGTCCGTTTCACACCGCCGCGGAAGAAGAAAAACACGACACGTTGACAACAGGTGATGGCAACAGCTGTTGTGAAAAGATGAATGACATTGGGAGTTAATGATGAGTTGTGACTGGTTGTTGTAGTTTTGTTAAGGCTTATAACGTTATTTTGTGTCGGTTTCGGTCGTGTTTGAATCGACTAAGTCAAGCTTGAGGTGAACCATGGCGACGGCAGGCGGCGAGGCGGCGCCCACGGGTGGTGCGGCGAGTGAAGCTCCGCTGCTGGACGAGGCACAACAAGCGCGCTTGGATCAGCAAAAGGTAGGCCCATTTATATCACGCTTTGACCACGCACAGGTGTCTGCTGCTTGGCGGCTAAGCGGGAAGATTCGGTGTGCTCGTTGCCAAGGCGTTTGGGCCGCATCTCACACGCCAATGTGGCTGGCTACCTGCTGCTGGGAATCTAGCGCCGCATGCGCTTCGAGAACGAACGGTATCTGCGCGATCACCCGGAAATCAAGCAAATGACGGCCGCATTCTCCTCGTGAGTCCCATTCACCCATGATCGGTGTCTCAGCCCATCGGACGCTCCAATGGAGCCTGTCTCGCCTTTTTGCTAACGCTGATGGGACCTGGCGGCTCCTTGCTCCGGTCTAGATCGGTTCTTCAAAATCGCCCCGATGACATTGCTCACTTTGCCAGTGGTACGGTGTCGGAAGTGCTGCGGCTGCCTGATTCGCTAAACGCACACTCCTTCCTCTATCCACACATCTGACCACCCAACAATCGGCGTGCCCGTAGAATTCTTTTCTGATCCCGATCTTGCGAGCAAGATAGCTCCCAAGAGCTAACCCCCTTCTCAGCCTTGGTTGATGATTCCCGATACCTTCCTAACGCCCGGTGCAACGACCTGGCTTCTGTTCGCGTCTGTCTCCCACACTGCTACACTCAAAGCGCCCGCAGACAAGAACGAGGCATGGCATTCTCGTTTGAATGGCCATTGTGCCCCGACCCACTCCTGCCTCTTGCCGGCAGCAGACGGCATGACCGGGAAACCCCAAGGGCTGCGCCCTCCCTCGGTGCCGTGTTCATTGGTGTTTTTGAAAGTGCATTGCCTTCCTACAATTCATACGCTCGATCCCCTCAATCTTCCTTTCTGAGTTCTTCAGCATCTCTTCCCACCAGCGGCATGAATCATATTGATCAGACCATCCAAGTCCATCCCCAGCAATTCAGCCGACGACCTTCCCCCCACCAACAAGAAGAACCAGCCCGAGCCAGCTACCGCCCGCCCGCCCTCCTCCACCATCACACACACACACACACACACACACACACACACACAATTCACAGCTCTCACTCTCTCACTCACTCTCTCTCTCATAGATAAATGTATCTGACATTAAAATCTGACAAAGGTGTTGGTTCGCATATGTCTGACAACTGCATTCATACCAGCCCACATGGCCACACACACACACACACACACACACACATTTGAGCGCACGCGGACGCGACGAGGACGAGGAGTGCCTCTGGCTGGGCGTCGGTGGTGTTTATCTCCTCTCCCTGTGCCTTGACGTTCTTGAGGGAGTTGTTGTTTCATTGGTTTGCTTCGGAGGGCGCTTTTTCTTTTTCAGAAGCTGCCAAAGATGGGTCGCAACCCCGTTGCCCTTTTCAAGAAGGGGCGCATCGACCCGCATCCCAGAAAGCCCAACAAGCGCCCTCATAGGCGCGGTCAGGCTGCACCCGCAGAGGATGCACCCGTTGAACCCGCTTCCAAAAAGTCAGCCGTTCTGCAACAGGAGGAAGACGCCGGCATTGTTACCGGCGTCAATCTGCCCGAGCTTCCGGATATTGACCCCACTGACCTCAAGACTGATGCTCGACCCGACGAGCAGGATGAGACCGACGCTGATGGCATTGCCAATGAGGAGGGTGGTCGCGCCGGCATGACCGCCGAAGAGGCCCAGGCCAACCAATTCAAAGTTACTGCCTCTGCCTTCCGCACATCTCGCGTACGTGCTAACCCCATGCATGATCAGCCGCTGGGCCCTCGGCCCTGCACAAGTGCCCCTGGCCCACCGCCTCTCACACACACTTCCTTGATCGCAGGAGCTGTACGCGGCGCCCTCACGGGAGGAGATGGTTGAGCTCAAGCAGGCTCAGCTGCTTTTCAAATCCAACATCTTCAAGATGCAGGTTGGCACCTCGTTCCGCCCAGGCTACGTGGCCTGCGGTCCGCTGCAACTTGTCGACATCAAAGCTGGCGCAAAAACTCACGCATGTCGTTGACAGCTGGACGAGATGCTCAAGCAGACCCAGGTCAAGTACCACAAGCTTCGCACGCTCAAGTCTCATTTGCAAGCTCTCAAGACGCACCTCGAGGCCCTCCCTGCCATTGAGACCCCCCAACTGGTCTGCCTCGCTCAATACATCGCCCTGCCACATGTCATGTCATTTTTTCGACATTTGTCGGCTGACCCATGCTCGTCTACTTGCTTGCGCTTTGCACACCGAACATCAAATACTCCCAAACCACGTCACAGGTACCCATGGACAAGGGCGTCCAGGGCGTGCGCGTGCCTCTCGTCCTAGGTCAAACTGAGGCTCGCGAACTGGAGTACACCATCGCCGCCCCCACAGCTGGTACGTCGTGCTGCGCGACGGTTCTCAATTCCATCACCGTCCTGCTGCTTTGGTCCTGCCACAGCACCACACCCACCTTTTTTTCTTGCCTTCTTCTGACTGACACCTCGCAGTCGAAGTGATTGGCAGCCTGGCCGCCCAAACGGCTTGCAAGCCCTGCCTTCAAGTGGACCTGGCCGTCACCATGCCCACAAGCATGTTCCATGTAAGCACTCGCCTTTGTCCCTTGCCTGAAGCACTTACTGGAGCGCACCATCTCTTGGTCGTTTGTAACCCTCAACCATCTCCCCTGGCTCTTCTCGCGTCGGCAGAACAAGGATCACCTCAACAACCGCTACCTTGTCAAGCGTGCCTGCTTTCTGGCTCATCTGGCTGCTCACCTGCAATCACGCCCTGACGTGACAGATCCTCGCTTTGAGTTTTTGAATGTATGTGTTCTCCCTGACACTGCCCTGGCGTTACGAGCAGCGTCCTTGTTTGGGCAACAGATGAATGGACCCAACCGTGATCCCAATCTAAAGTCTCACACTCGACTTTCTGGCGACTTGTAGGAGGATCCTTTAAAGCCTATTCTGACATATCTGCCGCAGATTGACGGTGCAGCCAGCAAGTGGCGCGTGCGTCTCTTGCCCAACATTGACGCTTCTGATCTCTTCAAGGTTGGCTGTCGGCATCTTTCCTTTGCCTCTTTCTTGCCTGCATTTGTTTGTCCCTTTCCCTTTCATCGGCAACTCGGACCACAATCCAGCAGCCAAGTCAGTTGCAGCGGCCACGACTCACCTGTTCGATCTCATTTCCTCTTTCAGATGTCGCGACTGGGTCCGGATCGCAATTGTCTTCGCTGCGCTCGCAACGCCTCTTTGCTTCCCGTTCAGCCAACTGAGGATGATTCTGGTATGTGGCTTCATCATACGCTGTTGCTTCTGTTGTTGCCTCATTTCACTCACTGGCGTGTGTAATAACGCCCCATCTGTCTTGTCTTCATTAGATGAGACGGCAACGCCACGTTATAACAATGCCATTCTTGAGGACTGCTTTCTGACCTCAGACCACGATGTACGCTGACCATAAAAGAGTCAACTACCAAGATTGCGAAAAACCGCATCTTCACATGAGTCCTGGTCTCTGTGCATTGCTGGGCCACCGCTCACGCCTTTTCCGATCCTATCCTGACACATCGCAGGCCATTGATCATTATGCTCAAGACGAGCGTTGCACAAGCTTTGGCCCCGCTCTCAACCTCCTCAAGGTTGGCATCGGCTTTGAGTTGGATCCTATTTTTGGTTTTGGTATTCCTTTTTATTAACCCGAGACTTTGTCCACTCATTCCTACTGCTCGCCAACGTCAGACTTGGATTCGTCAGCGCCAGCTGGGTGATGAGGGACATGCCCATTTCAATGGTCACTGCGCCGCCATGCTCCTGGCACACCTTCTACGAACTCGCCAGCTCCCACGCGAGGCGAGCAGCTACCAAATGTTTCGCAAAGTTATCAGTTTTTTGGCCCTGCAAGACTGGAGCAGTCAAGTCGTGCGCATGAAGGCGAATGCCGGCGCGGCGGCCAAATCGAGCGGTGATGAACAGGGTGATGAAGCTCTTGCCGACGACGCCACCTTCCTTCAGGCCTTCGATGCCGTCTTTTTGGCCCCGAATGGCCGCGTCAATCTGCTGGCTCGCACCACAAAGTACGAGATGTTTCCGCACCATCCCAACTCGACTTGCGTCACGCAAGAAAAAAAAAACATGCCAGAAGTTTTACACACACGCGCGTGTGCGTGCGCTTTTCTCACCCTATGATTTATATCTAGGGCTGGCCGACAGCTTTTGCAACAGGAAGCTCGCGTGGCCCTGGCCATTCTTGATGACGATCACGTCGACGGTTAGCTTTGCCTTCCGTGCTAGATCCTTCTCGGTTCTTGGTTGTTGTTGTTTGTTTGTTTTTTGTTGACTTGTTCTGACTCTTCCTTCCGCGGTATCCTGCCTGGCATCATTTCAGGTTTCCAAGCCTTATTCCTATCACAGCAACGTGCCGCGCTGGCCTATGACTGTATCGTGCGCGTGCGTGCCACCTCCGCTGTTGCTGCCGCTTACAGCGCACAAGTTCTCAATTACGGCGGTCATTGGCATGCCCTTGTGCAATCCCTGGTGGTGGCCCTACTGACTCGTGCGCTGGGTGATCGCCTCCACCTGGTGGTGCCCAGTGCTAAGACCACTCAGCCGTGGGCCCTTGACCAAGCCCCGATCGACCTGAGCCCGTCGGCGTCTGCTGATGCCACGCTCTTCTCCTTTGGGCTCCGTCTTGACGATGCCAACACGGAGCGCTTGATTGACCTGGGACCCATGTCTGATGATGAATCGGCTGTGGCTGCGTTCCGCGACTTTTGGGGCGCCAAGTCAGAAATGCGTCGTTTCCAGGACAGCTCTATTCGCGAGGCCGTGGTCTGGGATTGTGCGCCCTCAGAGGCCTGCGATGTGGTTAAATGGATCATCCTGCACATCTTGCAGCGACACTGCAAGCTGGAAGGCCAAAATGTGTTTGTCCAGCACCACAGCTTCCGCCCCGTTCTGGGCACCGGTCCTAATGAGCCTGATCAAGGCCGCGTTGCAACGCAACACGTGAACAAACGCTTTGGTGAACTGGCTTCGGCTCTGCGCCAGTTGAATCTGCCTCTCAAAATTGTCGGCGTGGAGCCCGTGAGCGCCACGCAGCGCTACACTGACCCATTCCCACCGCCCCAGGAGAAGGCCGCTCACCGTTCTTGGGCCCCCGCTTTGGAAGTTGTCTTGCAGTTGGAGAGCAGCGGTCGCTGGCCCAATGACTGGACGGCCATTCGCCACGTCAAGTCAGCCTTTTACATCAAAATTGCCAACGCTTTGGACGCTGCTCGCCTGCGCTGTCGCACGACCGTCACACCGGCCTACGTGGATGTAGACTACGCCGGCTATGTCTTCCGACTCGTGGTGCGCGTTGACTTTGAGCGCAACCTCGTCAAGCAGCGCTTGGAGGAGGCACAGCTGGCCCAGCGCCAACTGCGTGCGGCTGCCCGGGATGTGCCTGAGGAGCTGGAAGAGGCCATTGCCACGTACCAACCGGCTTTGATTGCTTTGAACAAGTCTTTTGTTGCACTTCCTGCGCACCACGCAATGGTCCATAGCTATCACATGGCCCATGCCTCCTTTGGCGATGCCTGTCGCCTGTTCAAACGCTGGGTAAGTGTGTGTGTGTGTGTTTGCAAGCCATGGCACGGCCACACCCATTCTGTTCTATGATCCACCGCCTCACTGACGGCATTCACTGTACCACAGGTGGCTTGCCATATGTGCAGCGGACACTTTGAGGAGGAAGCACTCGAGCTTTTGATGCTACATGCATACTCTGTGGGCAGTGGCCTGGCCCCGCCCGGCTCGGCTCAGGCTGGCTTCTTGCGTGGCCTATCCGTCTTGGCCCATCATGACTTTGATGCTGACGTTCTGGTCGTGGACCCGCAAGGTCAGTGCACCGCTCTCAGTCGCAGCCCACGTCAGGTTGGCTGTTGAGATACGCTCTGACGAAGCGCTTGTGAATGGATCGGCAATAGGCTCGCTCACGCAAGACCAGGTGGCGACTGCGCTGCGCGAGGCACGCGAGAGCCGTGCTGCGTTGCCATCTATCGTGATCATTACCCCGCAGGTTGGTGTGACCGTGTGGGTACTTGCAGCTTCACAAACACACACACACACACACACGCACACACCCATACCCATACCTCCTTGAGTAAACACTCGCTCACGATTCGGTGCTTGTCCTGGCATCTGCGGCAGGATGTGTCCGGCACCCTGTTTACCAGTGCTGGACCTGGAGCTCCTATCTTGAATCGCCTGCGTATGTGCACGATTTTGGGGGTCTCGTCGGTTGTCCGAGTCTCCTTGTGTTTAGCCTAATGCTCGCTTTTGGCTTTAGGTGTGCTGGCCGCGCAGAGTCTGCGCTTTGCGGGCGATGCTCTTGAGGACGACAGCAGCTTGATTGGTCAGCAACGAGGCAACATCTTGTATGTTGCTTTTGGCAAAGAGGACGCGCGCGACGCGATGCTTGTTTTGCTTTCTCCGACAATTTGCTCACGGAGCCATTGCGGTCTAGGTCAATTTTTGAGACGCCAACCAGCGACTTTGACATTGTGCTCCAGCTCAAACCTGCGCGACTTGTGCGCAGCTGGCAGGGGCTACGCCGCGTGCTGGTATGTTCTGACATGGCTTGCTTCCAGCCGTGCTTGTTAAGGTCATCCTTCCCCCCAACTTCCGTTACGCGTTGCCCCGCCTCACCGTGTGTCTGGTTGGGCCAAACTGGGTAGCATGGCGAGCAGGCGGGTCACGGGGATGACCAGGTTTTCAAGAACCTGACTTCAGAGGCGGCGCGTAAGCGCGAGGTGGTTCGTGCGGGCTTTGACTTGCAGGCACTTCTTGTCGAGGCTCTGAGCAAGGAATTCGGCCACCTGGGTCTCTTTTTTCATGATGTCTATGGTGGAAGCTGCATTGCTCTTGCGTTTCAACCCGAGGTTTGTGTGCCCGCATGTATGCCATTGGTGCTTGGCCAGTCTTTGTCGGCTTTTCTCACTCTGCATCGGCCTTGACCTTGCAGGCTAAGGTGAATCGCCCGTTTGCGTTGGCAGATCTTCAGGATGCCGCCCCTCATGAGCATGGTGAGGAGGTATCTTTGAACGTGGGTGCTGTTGCCACCTTCATGCAAGCAATTTGTGGCGATGCTGTTGCAATCGTGACCGTGCAGCACACTGCTTAGGGCCTTCGCCGGCCACTACAACGAGGCGTGATATGGCTTTGATTTGCATCCTCCACCAAGAATCGAAAAGTCGCCGTTCATCTGATAGTCAGAGGGACGGTGAAGGCGGCAGTGGTGTTTTGACACCTGGCTCCTCAACTTCTTCCCTGAGTCAATTGATTGAAAGTGAAGTCACTGTCTTACCGCTCCCATATTCGTCACACGACCGGGGACACGGGGGACACGCTCTGCATATGGCTCTATCCACGAAACCAAGTTGCTGATTACACACTTTTTTTCTGACCATCAGCACTTGGGCTTCGGTTTTACGGCATTCAGACACAGACCGAGAACCGTCTTTGTGCCTTTGATCAGAATGTAACGCTTGAAAGACTCGGAGCGCGCCATCTGTCTAGCTGGAGCCGGTGAAATGTTACCAACCGGCACCTCGTCACCACTTGATGCTCTCCCCCGAAAGGGCAACAGACGCCTGTACCCACCACACTTTCAAAAAAAAATAATTCGCCCAAAATTCACCAAATATTCAAGGAAAATTGAATGACTCTAATGACTCGAACACACACACACACACACACACACACATTTCTCAAGTCAAGATGCATCGAGCGACCACCTTGCTCCGTCATCTGACGGCCAATGGTAGGAACGAGTAATGATCTGTGAATTGCAGGAGGGCTGGATAGGGTAGGGTTAAGCTGGATAGGGTGAGCGGGGGAGGGTGGCCATCTTACCGGTGTTCTGTGGGTGAATAGAGGGTGGGCGCGGCGCCACCGACGACGATGATGTTGTCATTTGTGCGGCTCGACGAACGCCGTTGGGTCGTGCCAAAAAGGGCAGTTTCAAGGACACACCGCCCGATGATCTGCTAGCCACAGGTGAGTGAGCTTCCGACCGTGCAGATCCGACTAGAATGGACTCTGCTCCTGGGACGTGCACCCCCGCCATGGGCTCACTGGGCAACTCAATAGTGCTGGAAGCGGTTGTTCGAGACACGAGCATTGATCCCGCCAAGATCGAGGACATTGCCGTCGGCAACGTGCTCACAGACCAGGTACGTGCCAGAAGCACGCACATCACTGCTGTCTCTGTCGCAGCGTTTAGCAAAGTGTGGTGCTTCAACTGCACTCACCTCCCGGCCTCTTGTATCGTGCTGGTGGCAGAGCTTCCTCATGGCCAAGGTGGCACAATTTTTGGCTGGCATACCCGAGACCACCTCCCTCTCAACACTGAACCGGCAATGTGCTTCGGGGCTTCAGGCAGTGGCGACCATCGCTGCAGCGATTCGTGCAGGTCAAATCGACGTCGGCATTGGCGCGGGCGTCGAGTCCATGTCGCAGCGCAATATGACAGAGATTCAACCCCAGGTCTGTCAGACTTGTGCTGTCGCAGATTTCGAAAGCGTGCCAGACTCGTGATCTGTCGTTGCAACCTGATCTGAAGTGTATATGTACATGTCCTGGATCGCGTAGTTGAACCCTCGTCTTTTCTCCTGCCCACAAGCGCGTGACTGTCTCATGCCCATGGGCATGACCAGCGAGAACGTGGCTCAAAAGTTTGGCATCACTCGCGACGTACAGGACGCATTTGCAGCCCAATCTCAACAGTATGTCTTCATGCTCGGGTGCAAAAATCGCACATCTGTATCGCGCGCCCCCAGGACTAATGTAGCGGACGTCCCTAGGCGAGCAGCGGCAGCTCGCGCCGCCGGTAAATTTGACGAGGAAATCGTGCCAACGCGGGCACGTGTGCTGGTGAGCCCCGCCGATCGCGTTCGACATCACCTTTGTTCTGACCAGTCCTGATCCTCCTATGTAGTGGGCAGCCATGCTGAGCCTATCCTTCGCTCATCCTTGAGCCTGTCTTGGTGTGCACTCTGACAGAACGAAGAGGGCGATTTGGAGGAGGGCCCCATTGTATCATCGGACGATGGAATCCGGGAGGGGACGACCAAAGAAGTCAGTGGTCAAAGCATCTGTCGTCACTCTTCCATACGATGTGACACCAGCATGTCTAGTGGGCCCTGATCGAAGCATGGGTGGCGTGCGCGTATGTAGATGCTCGGCCGTTTGCGGCCCGCATTCTCAGCTGAGGGCAGTACCACGGCTGGCAATTCGAGTCAAATGAGCGATGGCGCGGCCGCTGTGTTGCTTGCGCGCCGCTCAACAGCAAGAGCACTGGGACTTCCTGTGCTTGGCATCTTCCACGGCTTTGCCACTGTGGGCGTGCCACCCTCGATTATGGGCATTGGTCCAGCCTTGGCCATTCCTAAAGTGCTCAAGCAATGCCGTCTAGCCACCAGCGACATTGATGTCTACGAAATCAACGAGGCCTTTGCTTCACAGGTTCGCCGAGTGAGCTCAGGAGCGCTGTCGAGCTGAATCGGGTTGTGTAGTGCTGACCATGATTTGGTCGCGACGGTGTGCAGATTGTGTATTGCATGAAGGAATTGCAGTTGGATGAGGCCAATGTCAACCCCAATGGGGGCGCCATTGCCCTTGGACATCCCTTGGGTTGCACAGGCGCACGTCAGGTGAGATTTCTTCAAGGATTTATTTTTTTTCGCGAGAGAGTGGGGTGGCATCTTCAAGCTAAACAATCCTTCATCCCATGCTCACTGTAGATTGCAACCTTGCTGCCGGAGCTACGACGACGCGGCACTCGCTATGGAGTCGTGTCCATGTGTGTAGGCAGTGGTATGGGTGCCGCTGCTGTGATCGAATCCGTGGTCCCGCAATGAGCTTGCTGATCACGTCAATGTAAATCTGATTTCTGGCAACACCCGCGCCCCCAATTGATGGTTCTCGCATCTTGCCACCAATCTTTTCAAACAATGCGGGTGCCCTGTGTCTTGGCATTGACTAGATTTCAGCACCCCCCCTTACAAAAAAAAAAAAAAAAAGTCTTTTCCCAATGCTCTTCACAAACAAAAGAAAAAGAGAAAAGAAAGAAAAGTCGCCGTTATGTTGTTTCTCTTTCCGAGGCACACATCCACTCCCTCACTCCTCGTGCGGAGTGATTCTCAGCTTCGGTTGCGTGTCGAGTGGGGTGCTGTCATTGTTCTTGACAGCACAACGCGCACGCAGCTTACTCTGGTCGAGTGTTGAGCGTTCAAACTACGGCTTTTTTTTTTTCCCTTCCTACGACGATTGCCTGCAGCTGAGCGCGAGCTTTGTCTCAGCGCGTGCGGTGGGCAAAGGGACTGGCTCCCCGCTAGTAGGACTGTTGCTGTTGCCTGCTGCTGCTGCTTGGTGTCTGCCGCCTGTCACCATGTCCTACAGGCTCCTCCGTCGCGAGTTTCCCGAGTGGAAGCTCACCGACTACGAAGAGCAACGCACCCCTCACCCGGTGCAAGATGAAGCGGACGCCTATGCCGAGATTGCGGCTGCTGATGTTGGCAAACTCTTCAAATGTGCCGTCTGCTTGAATCTGTTGGAAAACACCATGACGATGAAGGAGGTGAGACATACACTTCAGGCTGGGCAGTACCTCATCGGCCACAGGCCGCTGTGTGCGGCAAGGCACTCAAGCTTTGGGGCGATGCAAGCATTGCGCTATGCCAAATTACTCATGACTCATGTTGGAATCTGCCACGTAGTGTCTGCACCGGTTTTGCAATGACTGCATCGAGAAAAGCCTTCGCCTGGGTCGCAAGGAGTGTCCCACCTGTCGCACCAGCTGTCCATCCCGACGATCTTTGCGCCACGACGCTCGTATTGACGGCATCATCCATGCACTCTACCCTGATCGCCAAGAGTACGAGCGCATGCAAGATCAGGTTTGTTCCTCGTTGCGTTATTCGCGTACCTCTTCGACTTTGTCCCTACCCTTTGCTCTTAATCTTGATGCTAGCTTTGGGCCCGGTGGCCCCGAGCCCTAGCCGAGACCTGCCCCCGCACTCTCGAAGCCTTGCCTCTGAAAACCCCCTCACCTCTGCCTTTGGGATTGATGGTCTTGATGGTTGACCTTCATGTGTTATTAGCTCATTGAGCGCGTACAGAGCTCATCAAATTTCAAGGCATTGGCTGAATCCATCAAGACGGGCATGAAGGTCGGTGTATTGAAAACGCTGGTCTGCCATGTGTTTAGGCGTCAACCCAAGTTCGCCGCTCAAGCACCCTCACCCCTTTGTCTGCACGGATGTGATGGTGGATTTGGATACCGGCCAGCTACAAGCCGAGCACCGGCGGCGTCGCCTCAAGCCTGCTGCATCAGATTCCAAGGCGAATACAGATGATGAAAGCGACGGTGGTCAAGAACAGGAGTCAAACGGGTCGGATGGATTAGAATCGGACGGGCAGGAAGGTGCATCATCTGATGAGCTGGCAAACTCTTCTTCGGCAACCCGATCCTCGCGGCGTTCCTCGCGAACGCGGGCACAGCCAGCGGCGAAAAAAGCGCGGGCGCGAAGCACCCGCATGCGACGTGGCAGTAACGCCCAGAATCCGGGCAGTGCACCCGCATCGGTGGCCAACGAGGCTGGTCTGAGCGGGGACAAGATGATTGAATTCGAGTTGCAACCGGTGGACAATGAGGAGGAGCTGCGAATCAATCGGCCTTTTATCCGCTGTCATGGTGACACAACCATGCTGCACGTGTGTCACTTTGTGTCACTCAAAGTCAATACGGACCCGCCGCTGACCCCACAGCAGGTGACCATCTACATGCAATCTGCCAAGGGCCTTATTATACAGGGTCCGAAGAAATCACTCAAGCGAGCTGCTGCGCAGTTCAAGTTTCACAATGGAGAAGACGAGCCCATGCTACTGTTGTATCGCGTTGACGCCCACAGCAGCTAGTCTAGCGTTGCAACCATAGAAGATGGATGATTTGCCACAGAAGTCTTGCATACAGTGTCCCCTGTGCGTGACACCCAGCTCCCACCCTCTCTGACATGGCAGTGCATCTGAAGTGGAGGACATGCGCATCTGAAGTGCGCCCGTCAAAAGCCATGCTACACATGTCTGCCCCACGCAATCAATGGGGTCGCCGGCGATCCGGATACGGAACAGTGGTTGGAATAGCCGCTGCGCCTTCGAGGCTGAAGAGTTTATCCTTTTTTTCTGGACAATTCAATTTTATATCGGTTTCATCCACCATGGTGATGGAAAGCCAGGCTGGCCCTGCTGCGTCTTGAAACGGCACAACCATCTTGCATGTTGTCAGTGTAGCTTGCCGGAAAGGACCGACGCATCAGTTGTCATCTGCCCCACTTCCTTGGTGACGGAGGCTGTCCAGCAGCTGATCTTTGGGAATCTCCGTCCCACGCACCGTCAGCGTGTAGCAGGCTAACCCCCACGCGCCGGAAACGCAGAAGACAGAAAAGTAAAGAGCCCAAGCAGGTTCATGTCACAGTGAGTTAGGATGAAGGTGGGCAAGCTGGAAGGGGGCGGTGCTTGGCAAAATAGGGGACAAGCATGTGCGAACCGTTTTCAATCTTCTTCAATGAGCTTTCAAGGACATCGATCTTAAAACGCAAGTCCTTATCGTGCATTCGGTGGGGTAGGTGGCGAAAGGCTAGAAGTAACGAGGCAAAAACGGATGCATGTTGTGCATGACGTGCGGTCGAATGCTGTGTGCGTGGAGCGGAGAGGAGAGCAGTTCGGAAAAAAAAAAAAAATCAATGTGCAAGATAACCAACCATCAAAACATTGGCGCACAAAGGTCATGATGGAGCTCGTTAAAGCTTCATCACCAAGATTATTAATGCACATGCGCATCTGTGTAAACGGGCGCACATCATGACAACCGAGTCAGGTTCACATGTCAGACAGCGCGCGCGACCAGGGCCATGTCCTGCGCATGGCATTCAGGTACATGCAATGCGCGAACCAGTTCACCGGTGAGGTCGGCAATACCCAGGATGTAGTCCAAGGGAGGGATGGCCAGTGCCACGGGCGCCTGCAGTGGAGGAGCAGACACAGCAGCAAGCTGTCACGCAAGAACTGGATGCTGTCTCTGCACATGGCATTTTCATAGGAATCGGTCAAGCCTAGGGGACTCTGTTATGCCGGAGTGGCGGGTTGCGTTGTACCTCAGCACCTGCGTCGCCCTCCACGGGCTCAGAAGGCTTTTCTGGTTGAGCGATGGCCTCTTCGAGCTCAGCCAATGTGGCCAGACGGCCATCCTCGTTAAAAGCCAGGAAGGTGGCGGCTTCAATGTATTCTTGCAGACCTAACAAATACATGATGTTCGACAAGTCAATGCAGAGTGGTTGTCTACTGAACCAGGTGGCAAGGCATTGCCGTCGCACCAGGGGAAAAGGCTCGAGCGTAGAGAAAGGGGTCATGGCCCTGTAGTTCACGAGCGATGGCACGCAGGTTCTCGCGAATTTCTACCAGCTTCTCTCGAGCCTCCTGCAGCGTGGTGTCTTTATTCTCTGCCGTGATACTAAGCAAGGGTCGTGTTGAGAAGCAAGCGGTGGTGAGAACGGAACGAGTGGTTGGTGTGTGGGAAGGAAGAAAAACCAACCGATGCAGGATGAAGATGGCCCGCTTGCTATGAATGGTCACATCTCGGCTCAACTTGACCAGGCGCTCATATCGATCATGCTAAGCGTGGCAGCAAAACATCATGAGCGCTGCTCAGAACGGACTGGCAAGAACAAGTCTGCCGCATACCTTATCAGTCAAGCGTTTGGCGTAGCCAAAAAACTGTCGCTCAACCTCACTGGCATCATCACGCAGCACTGGTTCATCCGCCTTGCTGCGCTTGGGCCCTTGGCCGCCACCGCGACCGTTCTGTCGCTTCCGCTGATCCATCTCAATGTGAGTGTGAGAGAGAGAGAGGAGAGAGAGAGAGAGAGAGAGTGAGCGAGAGAGAGAGAGAGAGCGAGAAGAGAGAGAGAGTGTGTGTGTGAGAGAGAGTGGGAGCGAGAGAGAGAGAGAGAGACAAAGGCAAAGTCAACGGCTTCGAGCCGCTTTGGTCTCACTCAACACGATGCACAGCTTGACAAAAAGTCTGACATGCTCACATTTTTTTTTTTGGGAACACACACTCTCTGCACACACACACACACTCTCTTCTCTCTGAGGATGGAGGCGATCAGGGTCAGTGGGCTGGATGGATCGGCCATTGCTGTTCATCTCAATGGTGCCACGGTGACAGAGTGGAAGAATCAGCGCAGTGATAATGCCTTCTTCGTGTCGGAGCGTTCAGAGTGGCAAGAGGGTCGCCCAATTCGAGGTGGGATCCCTCTGGCCTTTCCCCAGTTCGCCGGTGATGGGCCTCTGCCCAATCATGGGTTGGCTCGCACGCTGCCCTGGACTGTCGCCGAGCAGGCCACCGGCTACATTCAGCTCTGCCTACAAGAATCGGCCGCGTCCCGGGAACTGTGGCCGTATGCCTTTGACGCAACTTATTCCGTGACCTTTAATGCGTCCAGCTTCAGCTCGGTGTTAGAAATTACCAACCCTCATGCACGCGCGGCAGGCAGCGCCATGCAGTTCCAGGCTCTGCAACACACCTACTATCAGCTTGATGCAGTGACAACCCTGCAGCTTTCAGGACTGGAGGGTCGCACCTTTCTCGACAAGTTGACAGGGAAGAGCCCCAAACAAGCCCCAATGACGCCCCTGACAATCCAAGCAGAGACCGATGCCATCTTCGTTCCTTCACAAAATCCTCGCCCCGTGCTGCTCCAACTCGAAGGAGCACCCGTCTACGAGATCAACTCTTCTGCCTCTATTCAGTCAGATGAGGGCCTAGCGCAGCCTCTGCCCTCCGACGTGGTGCGTTGCAATGCGGCGGACGCGCTTTGGTCCCACCGCAGCAGCAGCTTTTTTGCTGCAAAAGCGCAAAGGAATGGCTGGAATGGTAGTTTTGCGGCTTGTCCTGATTTTGATCCTGGCTGGCATCCCCTGGCCCAACGTATCCATCTAGGTGATTTGGAATCCTTGGATCGCCAAGAGCGCCGCCATGGCTGATTTTGGGGACGAGGAGTACCAGCACATGGTTTGCATCGAGCCAGGGTGCGTCTCTCAGCCCGTGACGCTCGAGCCCGGTGCCACCTTTCGCTTGGAACAACACATTACCCTACTGGTATGTTAGATGCCTTCATCCTATCTTTCCTTGCTTTTGAGTTGAATCGTTGTTCGAGACGAGAGTGTTCATAGCCCAAGACTGAACCGTTTGAATTGGACTTTCATTCACGTGTCACCGTGCCCGGCGTGTGAACCATCTGGATGTCCAATAGCCACGGCCTCACCTGTGAGCTGGTCGCAAAGCTCGCTCAGGAGCCGCTGCAGAGCAGCATCATCCACCTCTAGCTGTGCAATCTGCACGACCTGGGATGCAATCTTGAGCTGCTTGCGTTCCAAGGCATACTGGTCCATCTGCTGGCAATGCTGAGCCTGACAATGTTGCCACACACATTGGGCACAAGCAGAGCGTGGGAATGGGACCATGTGAGTTGTGTTGGTCACCACATCACCGGCACTGCTTCATGTCAGTTGACCATCCAAATGTCAATCTGCTCCTTTAGCTTCTCTTCTCATGCAACAAGTTGCGTCTCTGTTCATCATTTCCACGTCTTTTTGGGAATGAGCCACGTTGAGTTGGGGGCTAGGACCAGCGCCTACCTCCGCATGAGCCTCACGTTGAGCCTTGATCTCGCAGGCAGCAGCGATGACTTCCTCAGGCAAGGCCGCAGCGGCAGCCGCACGCAACCCTAGATTCATACGCATGAGAGCTGTCACCAAGATTCTGGGATGATATTGTCCAGGTGGATGTCATGGGCAAGTCACACGCCAGCCAACAGGGGCCTCGGTCTGGCTGACCATAGTCCATCTCTTGAAAAACGCCGCGTTGTAGCTTGTGAAGAATGTGCGAGTGCAAGGATTCAGAGTCAGCGGTCGACCCCAGTCCGCTTGCGACACTTTCTGCTGTAAAGCAATAGCTGCATGCAGTGCCGGGCATCGTGAGTGTCGACTCTCCCTTTGCGCAGTCCGGGTCACTTGTCGTCTCGGGACATACTTTTGCACGTTTGGGTACATCTCCAGCCTTGTCAGTGCTCGAAAATGAGTGACCAAAAAGAGCAGCGCTCCAGTTTGCACCAAGTGCTCACACGCGGCAAAAGAGATACTGGCGCCTTCTTGCGGACTGGTGCCTGTGGCCGGGCGAGATGATATAAATGAGCGGCAAACCCAGACGACAATGGCCCAGTCGCCCTCATTCGCATGCAGGCTGGAAGCGTACCGCGCCCCAATTCGTCGATGATGATCATACTTTGTGGGGTGGCATGCTATCAACAGTGTCCACAATGGCGTCGATGGCGTGTGAGACGAGCTCTCAAACTCATTAAATCAAACAAACAGTCGGGTTGGGGTCATCGCAAGGCTAGCTCGACGCTTGTGCGTTAAGCTGTGCCAAAACTTGCCTGTAATATGAGGTTCAGCTCCTGGCATTCTATGCCAAAGGCACTTGAGTGGGCCTCAATTGCGTCGTCATTGCCAATCCGGGTGAAGATTTGCTCAATGAGGCGAAAGGAAGCAAAACGTGCGGGCACTAGCCCGCCCAGTTGCGCCAGGATCTGCAGGAGCACCACCTGGCGCAGATACACGGACTTGCCCGCCTGTTACGCATCGCAACAGCACCCCCACCCATGGCATGCATGGCCAACGCATACACATGTTTGTGCTTGGTGAGGCACTGGCGAGTGGCATTGCCTTGCGAACTTGGCGTGCGTACCATGTTGGGCCCGGTGATGACAACCGTTGAGGCGCTCCTGTTGGCATACGTGTCATTGGGTACCACTTGTGAGCCCTCGCGCAAGCCACGACTAAGGAGTACGGGATGGTAGCCGGCTTGAATGGCCAGTGTTTCACAAAACTCGGGCTGAGCAAAGGAGATGCTTGGATATTGAACGGCCATGCCCGCCAAGCTCTGCAAAAAGTCAAGCAGAGCCACCTGTGTTGGCGACGAGGTGAGACTCTTGACATGAAAAGAAGGGAGAAGGTGGGAGAGGGAGGGAGATTGCAACATGGCCCGTGCAGAAGGGTGCCCGGGTGAGCCGACCGTTTCGGCCAGCTTGTAGAGCATGGCAATGTGGGGGCGCAGCTGGGCCAAAAACTCGTGCACGATTCTATACCAGACCCAATTGAGGAGAGCCACGGCGTTATTGCTTTCTCGTGTTTCAGACACCCTTTGCACACGTACCCATTAGCCAAGTCCATGAGCTCGGCAAAAACTTCTGCAACTCGCTCGTTCAGACTGGTCAACTCCTCTGTTGAGCCGGAGGCTGTCTTGCCCGATCTGTGACAAGGTTGCAGTTGGCAAATCGGAGAGCTATGACGCCGTGATGATGCACACAGGCAGGGGTCTAAGTTCAGGCGAGAGGGCGCCAGGCGTACATGCTCAAGAATTGCAGGACGGATGGCAAGGCATTGGCTTCTTTGGGGATTTTCATGCGCATGAAGTGGCCGCGAGTCTGCGAAAAGGCCAGCTGCGCCTCGAGCTGATATTCATCATTGAATGCTGCGACAACTTCTGTATGCATGCCATACACGGGAAGTCAGTGGATGTGAATCAAATTTGATAAGCCCGTTCCGCAGCCTTCCGGGTAGGCCGGCCGACCGCACCATGCATATCCGAGAGCAACTCTTGATGAGTGCGACGCGCTATGTCGAGCAAGTCTACGGGCATGCGGTCTGGTAAGCGACCTGGGGGATCAGGTCTGATAGAGGGCAGGCAAGGTCCAAAAAGCATCGCGGAAGTACAGATTTGTAGCTTTCTGCGTGCCCTCGTAAGCGTGCTTTCCATATAGAGATGGGTGGGTAGCTGTGCTGTGATACTTGCCATTGACACCTTCCTTGATGGCACCGACCACGGCTTCGCGCGGAAGGTGAGAGCCTGCATGAACGTCTTGAATGGCAAAGGTAGCGGTGAACAAGGACTGCATAGCGGCTGTAGTAGTGGGATCGAGCAGATCGCGCAACATCAGCACGAGTGGCTGGGCGAGCTGATCGCAACATTGGCGGAGAGGCTCAACAAGCTGCAGATCTTGTTGCAGGTGTAGCAGCAACATGAGGCGGCGGGCTATCGCTTGGGCATCGTCGCGCTTGGGGAGCTGAATACACATGGCAATGGCTCCATCAATATCGTGAAACTTGTTCAAGAGCTCAGATAGTTCGCGTAGTCGCTCCTATTTATTTTAAATCGTGATCGAGTGTACACAGAGAGGAGGATGAATCAAACTTTTCGTGGTTAGAAGGGGCGTGGGTGACGAGATGCATTTGATATCTAAATCGAGAACGCCAAAGCTGACGTACAGGCTGAGCAGCCAGCAAACTCACAACCTGCTGGCGACCCTTGATGGTAGCCAAGGCTGGACAAGCAAGTCGGTCAAGTGCAGAGAGAGGTCGAGCGAGATCGAGATCAAGAGAGCAGTGGGCAAAAAGTGGCAAGTGGTCATATTTGAAGAGCGTCGTGAGTTTGGATTTGAAGCTCAGCATGGTATTGTTGGGCACTCGTGACGGCTATATACGTACTGGCCGGAGGCTGAAGGATTTCTGAGCGCAGCATTCGATCTAACAGATCATTTGTGAAACGGAGCCCGGATGCGGTGGTAGAGTACAGGCTTTTCAGAGCAACTCTTGAGGCACACATAATGTTGGCCACAGGCCTGTCTGTGTGAACAGATCCCAATTGGGCAGTTGAAGCGGTGGATCTACGCACCTCCTACAACGGTTTTAGTGTTGTTCAAAATGCCATAGAGGCTGTTGCTGGTGTCTGTGGGTTCTCGCACGCTCTGTAGCAGCTCGAGTTGCTTGACGCTGTTGGAATCTACTTGCGTGCAGGAAAAAAGAGAGACTGACTTTGGGCCACATATGTTCTGTTCACACACGCATACCTATCCAGACGGCCCCATCAGCCGTTGCAAAGGTGATCTTGAGACTCTTGCTGGCAAGATGGGTGGCTTCTTCGTGCTGTACAAAGCGCATCAAGGCTGCAGCACTTGCAAGTGCATAGTACCTATGACCACGTTTGTTCGTTTGTGTCACAACAATGTTTGTGCCAATGGCGGGACTCACGGCTCGGGACCAGAATAGAGCAAAGCAAAAAGGCACTTGCTTATCGGCGAGGGCTAAAAGGGTGCTTCGGTAATCCGCGGCTGCCAAGCGCTCGACCATGTCCCGACCTTGTTGATGCGAACAGTTTCTTTGCATATGAGGTTTGTGGGTTTACACATTGGGAGTGGCCAAGATGGGCGCACCGTCATGCTCATTGAAGTAGCGGCGGGGAACCTGAACAAATTCCAAGTTCGGAAAGGCTTCGAGGAGAGCCGAGTAGAGCCGTGCTGGCTTGCGAGCCGCGCACAGCGTATCTGGTACTGACATGTGATGCAAATAGGAGTTGAGTCAGATGGGCAGCAAGAAAAGGTTCGCGAACACAGAAAAGAGAGAGAAAAGAGAGAGAGAGAGAGAGAGAGAGAGAGAGAGAGAGAGAGAGAGAGAGAGAGAGAGAGAAAGAGAGAAAGAGAGAAAAGAGGAAAAGTGTGAGAGGGAGATGTCAAGGAGTTGGCAACCAACGCAAGAGGCAGATGGGGGCTTGATGGGTAATTTTGGTGACCGTCTTCATGTAGGAGGTGGTGTCAGGAAACTGGTATAGCCGAAGCAAGGGGCGGGCGAGATCAAAGCTCGCTAGCCCGACCTCGCCGCGAGCATTTCTAAATAGTGCACGCCAGGGCGGTTGTGCGATGAGAAATGCTAGCCGAACGTAATGATAATGGGCGTACCACATAAGAAGCTTTGGGCCTGCCAGCGCTTTTGTGTACATCCGGGCACCCGGCCCTGGAGACCCGCAGATAGGCAAGCAAGCATTGAGCAGACCCGAGGCCTTCGACGACGCTGCACAACATGCGAGATGTGGCTGGAAAAGGCGTTTGTGAGCGTGGCGTCCGGGTCGAAAGACTCCGGCCAGAGCGAGCCATGGAGCGACTGGTGGGGCGCAGGCTTGGGGTTGAGGTTGGTGCAGGCGTATTAAACTGTCGGCGACCCTGCGGCTGCCGGCCAGCTGGTGGACAAGCCAAGGCGAGAGGGTGAGTGGACATGGCGGTGCGACAATAAGAAGTAGCCGCCTCATCGGAAGAGTCAAGCATACAAACCTGCTCCTCTGGTGGAACGCGCGGGTCGTGCCGCCATGCTTTTGGTCCCTGCAACTTTTTGAACGTGATGATGTGTGCCCGTCACGCGACACCACGAATATGAATTGTCGACAATTTGACGCTCTTCCCGCCAAAAGCAATCTGACATTTGGTGTACGGTATTAATTGTAGCGGATATGCAACATGTTGAAGATTTGTTAGGCAATTATATGTTACTTTTCGACGGTCAACTACCAAGTTTACGTGCTGCTGTTGCAACAGCAGTCCATTCACACAAAAGTCTTTATCACACCTTTTGCGCGCCCGTGCCATAAAGTCGCTGTCAAAGGCAGTTGCGGAAAATGCAATAAACACTTCAAAATCAACAATAATCAACCTTAAAGACATTATGAAAACACCAATAAGTGTCAACAGGTCTACAAAAACACATCAGTGACTGTCTCCAGTCAAAGAACCAACTGTGAGTTCTCTGTGCGAGTGTGTGTAAGGCAAGAGGCTGTCACACCTGTACTCAAAATATCAAGGTGATGCAAAGGGAGTTTGCCACACACTTGCAAAGGTGTGTGTGTGTCGCGTTTTCTTTATCTCTCTCTTTTTTTTTTTTTCGTTTGCGGCTCCTGAACATACGGCAGCGGCAGCGGCAGCAGCAGTAGCAGTGGGGTGTGTCGCTTAGGAGCAAGGAAGGGTGATTGTTATAGGGGTCATTGCCTCTGTGCAGCCTTTGCCCGGCTTGAAAGCGGTCTTTCGGGGATCAGGTCGAGCCTCAATATAGCGTCGTGCTTTGCGCAGACGCCGACGACGTCGCGTCATCTCTCTCTCTCTCTCTCTCTCTCTCTCTCTCTCTCTCTTCGGTCGTTTCCGATTGACGCCACAGCCTCGGGCCACGTACGAGCGCCCGCATCTTCAAACAGGGGCATCATGTTGTTTTGGCTGCCGGCCTGATTTTGGTGACACTCTACATCCACGCAACTGGACCTGCCTAGACGTTCCGTTGGCGAGCGTTGTGGAAGGATCGGCGGACTGCGTCACATTTCCACCATGTTTGGACCGTCATACACATCCGTGACTCGGCGACCGAGCCGTCAATGCCAGCCATCTACGCTGACCTGCTCCTTGCTTGCTTTGGGAGTATTGGGCCTTTTGATCAGCGGCTCAGCGGCCCAGGAAGGTTTGTGGTCGTGCCACCACCTCGTCGTTTTGACTTGCCCCCGTCTAGCCGGCTGCGGATGAGCGTTCGTGCTGGTCACATTGGCCCTGGCTTGTTGCTCACCGGGGGTTCCCTGACCGCTTGGCTGCCTGGTTCTCACAGTTTCATTGCACATCAACTACTCAGCCGATCCCGTATCTATCCCCAGCAATATCAGCTTTGTCATCGCCCCAAAGGGATACAACGCGGAACGTTTTCGCATTAGCCTGTGGCGTTGCTTCGGTCTGGACGCGTCTCGCGACGATGAGCCCCACGATGATCAATGGGTGATGATTTGTCACCGAGGCACCCAATGCAGCAATAGTACTTCTCAGTTGCTAACGCCCGGAAATTGTACCACCCGCATCGAGGTGCAGGACGACGTCCACCTTTTCGACCCCGTGGTCCGCACGCGCACCTATTTTGTCCCTGCCCACCTGGACGGCGTGCAGCTTATACTCGGCAACGCCACCACCTTCAATGAGCTCTTTGTGCGCGTTGGTCAGCCCGTGGATGTGCATGTTACACCACTGCCTACCATTGACTTGACTGGCGTCGTGAAATTGCAGCTTCAATTTGGCGACCAACAAAATGCCACAGAGTACAACGTTTCTCAGCCCACGCTGGTCGTCTCCCACGTTTTTCAGGAACCTGGTATTTTCAATATCACGTCTCAGGCCACGAACAACGTTAGTGCTGCCAGTGACGCCAAGACCATCTGCGTGGTGCGACCACCCTCCTACGTCCACCTACGCCATGACGGCAATGACTTGACCCCGCACCAGCACATCAACTTTACTGTGGTGACCGACGGCACCGACGCCAATTACACGTGGGATTTTGGAGGGGACGAGGTTTACATCAGCTATGAGCCCTTTTACTCATATGCCTTTGCAGATAAAGGCAGCCACAACATTACGGTCACCGTGGCCGGCCCATTTGGTGCTGCCCTCAACTCTACCGCCATCGTCATCAACCCGGCCGTGTCGACGGAGCAGACCATAGCCATCACCATCCCCATCACTCTTGCTTGTATTGGACTGCTGCTCGTTGGCCTCATTATTCGGTATGTGGCAAGGACTTTGTCCCATCGGTGCTGTTGTGCTTTTCCTCTTGTTGGCATGTCATGCAACCTCCTGACTCGCTCACGAGAGACCCGTGCCCACCTTTGTACCCCCCCTTTCACTTCGTTTGAACCTGACCATTTTCTTTCTTCACTAGCTATCGACGCATCATATTCGCTCGCCGTGGCGTGGAAAAGGCCGAGTTCAGCTTCCTGCCTTTTGGACAGGAATCGGAGCATTCGGCACGTCGGCGGGGATGGATGCCCTCACTCTTCACACCCTCGCAGTCCACGCGAACCTATGGCACGGTGGAGATGTACGATGACTTGTAATCCGTAATACGAGCAATATAGCCGGCCCTTTAAGGGCCTTGAATTGCACGCCTGTACGCCATGTCGGCAGAGCCGGCCGATCCTTCCTGTGCAGTAACCGGAGGATCCTTTTTTTCTTATTTTTTTTTTTTTTTTTTCAGTTGTTGATTTAAGCGCCTTTGTATTTTGATTTCAAACAGGACTCTTGCTTGTTGTTCCCTTTGCCCATCTCAGCTGCTCTGCATGGTCTGGATGGGTTTGACAGTTCTTGTTGATACTGTCTGTAAACTGCCATACTTATCGTTTTTGAGACAAGCGATTCGCTACGCGTGTCTTTCGAAGTATTCAAAATTTACAAGTTCCATGAGATGCATTCGCGCCGGTGCACAAAGCAATCGAGTGAGCAATTCACTCCCCAACGCTTGCTGCATGTAGTGTCCGGCCACCCTCTTCCATCGCAGTTTTTGCTTGCTCACCCCAAAACAAACAAGCGAAAAAAAAAAAAAAAGCATCAAACAAGTACAATTAAAACGGACAACGAGATTCTGGGGCGTTATGCGGACTCTGGCAAGTCTCACAGGCATGTGTACCGGAGTCTAATTGCACTTCCACACCAGAACAGCCATGTTACCACCAAAGAAAAGGTAACAGAGGTTGCTCATTTGATGCGTGATCTCAAATCCAAAGGCTTCACCAATCACAACATTCCTATCCCAGCATGCCACAACGCTTGGGTGAGGGACGATCGACGTTGCAGCCTCTGAATCAAGCCCAGCAACCCTTGGCTGCCTCAAGTTCTTTCACTGTCGTGTCCCAGCTACGTACCAGGGGCCACCAAACTTTTTGTCCATGATGCCCTTGAGCATCTTAGCTGCTTCCTGCACCAACCAGGCAAAGCGGCCATGCGTGAGGTGCGGATGAAGCAAAAACCAACGGGTTTAGCCAGGGCAATGGAAAAGATTGTACCTCGTTGCTATTGGAATGCTTCTCGATGGCCGTTTGTGCAGATTCGAGGCATTCGGCCTGGGTCTCCTCATTTAGATCTGATTCCTATCATACAGTCGATGCACCAGGATTTCGAGACATGGCGTGGTATGAAAGGCCGTGGTGGACGGCGGTGCACATGAGTCGGAACCTTGCACAGGGCCAGCTCGAGAGGTGCGGGGAAACTGCAATCTGCACTGCGCGCGTTGATGGCACACAACACGGCTCACGCACCACAACGAGACCGTAGTTGAAGTTCTTGCGAAGGTCAACCTCGCCTTGCTTCTCAACCTCTGTCATGATGACGGCGTATTGGTCTCAGACCACCGCAGCAAGCGACTCGATTAGATACCCACAGAGTGGGCAGGGTCGATGCCTATGCAAAGTCCGCACACGCCCTGAAGGGCTGCCGGGCGATATTTCGTGACTGCTACTTCCAATGGCTGAAAAAAAGCCCTGGTGCTGATGCCAAGCCTGTGTCACGGCTCGGCGTGGGCTTTTTGCGTCGTCGGTATCAATCTAGTGTTAAGGTTCCCGGGGCTGAGCGACCCACGCACGTCACCGCCGTCGACCGGCACCTGCAGCAATTGAATTCAGTCGCTTGTTTGTCCTCCGTCGTCGTCTTATGGTTCGCGATTGGTTGTCAAGTGGTGCGTGACAAAAATGACTGTTTTGATATCAAATGTACAGTCTGACAACTTACAAAACAACAAAAAGGCAAAAGAATGAATTCGGATTGATCAGACAGAAGAGTGGTCACACGTCAATTTACAAATGGCCGGCAGACCCTCGGTACGACGCAGTCCTAGACCCAGGCCGCAGGCCCTCATTCTTTGTCCTGGTTGAGGGGAGGAAAGAAACAAATTAAAAAAAAGGAAGGCGAAAGAAAAAGAAGAAAACAAGAAGAGCAAACATAGGTAAGCACAGATACAAAAACAGGATCGAGACTAGGCGAGTTGGAAGCTATCGGGTTCGTTCGCATGGGACGCGCATGTTCTACAGAGACCGGATGCATCTGGTTCTAGCGGACAGGTGCAAATCATGGCGAGTCTCCTCATATTCTTGCCGTAAGGCAAGCTGTGGATGGGTGAGAGGGCACTCTAGATAAGGTTTGCCGATTCTGCCATGCCATAGAAGACAGATGTCCGCGTGGCCAGAAGAGCCGCGGGCGAGTCAAACTCAATGACCTTGCCCTTGTCCAAGACCATGATCTTATCACTGTCCATGATGGTATTCAGGCGATGAGCAATGGTGAAGATGGTGCATTCAGCAAACTCGCTGCGGATTGTCTCTTGGATGAGTTCATCCGTCTCCACGTCGACGGCGGCAGTTGCTTCGTCGAGAATCAACACCTTGGTCTTGCGCAGCACCGCGCGACTCAAGCACAGGAGCTGACGTTCACCCAGTGAGAAGTTGCCACCTCCTTCAGACACGACGTGATCCAACGCGCCTTCCATCTCAGTCACTTTATCACCCAAGTGACAAGTGCGCAGCGCTCGCCACAATTCATCGTCCGTGTGTCTATGCAATGGCAAACACGAAATGCATACCACATCATCAGTCAATAAGCCCAGGGTCAGACAAAGCTGCAGCCACAGGCCTGCGGAAAACGACAACGACAACGACGACAACGACAACGACAACGACAACAACGACTGTGAGTGGTGTAGACGTACCGTTTAAAGGGATCAAGGTTCTGACGAATGGTGCCCGAGAAGACAATCGGGTCCTGGGGCATGATGGTCAGGCGCGAGCGTAGGTCCTCAAGGCCAATCTTGGCAATGTTCTGTTCCAAAGAGAGCAAAGTCGTCAACAGCACGCAAACATAACGAGCGCAAAGCAACGGGGCAGATCAGAATAAGGCGACCCACCTCGCCATCGATTACAATGCGGCCGCCAGCAGCTTCAAGAATGCGCAGGAGTGACAGTGTCATGGACGATTTGCCTGCACCCGTGCGACCCACACAACCAATCTAGAGTGGGCATCCATGACCAGTCAGGTCAAAATATGAGTCGTGCATGGTCTCCCAAAGAAACCGGCAACGGCACTCTTACCTTTTGCCCACCCTCAATGGTGCAGGAGATCTCGCGCAGCACAAGGTCAAGTCCCTCACGGTAGCGCACGCAGTAGTGATCAAAGCTGATATTGCCTTGATCAGGCCAGTTGGGTTTGGGTCGATGGTCCAAAATTGGAGGCGCTTCAACGGGCACCGAGCAGTACTCCTCCACACGCTCAATGGCGACAATATCCGTCTCCAGCTGGCTTGACATGCGCACCATCCAGTTGAGCGTTTGCGTCACTGACATGGCATAGGAGAGCGATAGACCAGCCGTGCCGGGACTGATTGCCGAGCTCTTCTCCTCCACCTCGATCACGGCAAACAGTGCCGCAAAAAAGATGATCGAGTTACCCAGAAATTCAAGCCGCAGCGCCAACCAGCGGTTGGCACAGATAAAGGGGTAGTACGCTTGCAGGTTGAAGTCAACACGCTCCTCGTTCTCCTGAACAAAGTCTGGTACCTTGCCGTAGGCACGGATGTTGCTTACACCGTGCAACGTCTCCGTAAAGTGCGCGTAGATTGGGCTGCGACTCACCGATTCAAGCCGCTGCAACTGACGGGAGGTGGCAACGTAGTAACGCTGCACGTAGTAGTACAGCAGGGACATGGGCAAGATGATGACCATGAAGAGCGGCGTGGATACACTGATGACGACGATGGTGGCCACGACCTGCATAAAGGTGGACATGAACGAACGCAGGGAGCGCGGAATGGTTTCGTCAAGGACATAAATGTCCTTGGAAAAGCGATTCACAATGCGCCCGAGCGGTGTTGTGTCAAAGAATGACATGGGACAGCGCACGATGCGCAGCAGCATGTCGTTGTGCATGACACGGCTCGCGCGGATTGAGCCGTAGGCCAGGACGAGCGTGGTGAAGAGAACGCCAAGCGCGTTGCCCATACCCAAGGCAGCGTAAACGCCCAGATAGACACCCACAGGGCGGACGTTGGGGACCTGAGTTGCATTGGAGGAAACGGCGTGGTCGTGCTTGTCCTGTTCCGAGCTCCACACATCAAGCCACTTGTTGGAGCCAACTTGCATACCGTACGAGACAACGTACATGGCCAGAAGGGAGATGGTGACGGGCCAAGTAATGGCGCGGAAGTAAGACATGTACACATCGAGCTTGACATTGCCTTCCTGCGCCTTCTCCTTCTTGATCAGACCCGAATGTTCGGTGGCTGATTCGCCAGCAGCTCCCGACTTTTCAGCCTTGTCCGTTTTATCGTTCACAGGCATGAGCGCAGAGTCTGAGCCCTTTGTGCCCGTTGAGTCGAGGATCACGTTCGACTTGCTTGAGGAAGTGCGCTGCTCGTCCGTGGTGCTTTCAATCTCAGTTGACTCGGAACCTAGCTCCTTCACGTCCCCACCCGCATCCTTGGATCCCGTGGGTTTGTCGCCAGTGCCGCCCGTCGTGAAATCGGTCATGAGCTTCTTAAAGTCGCCCTCGTGATCGCATAGCTCGCGAAATGTGCCCTGCTCTTTGATTTCACCTTTGTTCATCACAACAATGTTTTGCGCCTCACGCATAAACTGCAGGGCGTTGGTGACGAGGAGACGAGCTTTGTTGCGCAGCATGCCCTCGGGGCCAAGGACGAGTTTAAAGATGTGTGAAGCCACGTGGGTGTCCACCGCCGAGAGAGGGTCATCTAGAACGTACACGTCGCAGTCCTGGTACACGGCTCGAGCCAGACTCACACGGGCCTTTTGGCCGCCAGAGAGATTCACGCCACGATCGCCAATCTCGCAAGCATCGCCACCTGGCAGAATGAGGAGATCCGGCTCGAGAGCGCAAGCGTGAATGACTTGTTTATAACGCTTGGCATCAAAGGCTTTTCCAAAGAGAATATTCTCGCGCACGGTGGCGTTGCGGATCCAAGCCGATTGTGGCACGTAGGCCACTTTACCAGGCAAGACGACGCGACCCGCGTGCTTGTACATGTCGCCAAGAAGAGCGGAGCATAGGCTGGACTTGCCCGATCCCACGCGCCCGACGACCATGCAGATCTCCTGCTGGTGCAGGACGAGGTCAATGTTTCGCAGAGCCACATCGGTTTTATTCCATGAGAATTCGCCGCGCTCCATCACAGCTGCGGGCAGGGCCTCGCGCTTGTTGGGCGGGGTGGCGCTTGAGGCACCAGTGGCTGGGGGCAACTTGGGGACCAAGGCCATTCGATCACGGATGACGTTGCTGGGATCGGTTTCCTCATGGAGGAGGAAGGTACGGAGGCGGTTCACGGAGACGGTGGCTTCCACAAGGGAGGTGATCATCATGGGAAGCATGGCCATGGGAAATCGGAGGATGTTGAAGAGGGAGAGGGACACGAAAGCCTTTTCGGCAGTGAGCGTGTTCCCACTGAGCGTGTAGGCGATAAAGGTGACCAGAGATACGAGGAAGGGAGCCGCGGTCCAGCTGAAGGAGCTGACGGCGTTGAGGTAAGCAAACTTGGTCAGGATCTTCAGCTCACGGTTGCGAATGTCCTGAATAAAGCCGGCAAAGGGCCGCTCCCAGGCGTACATTTTGAGGATCTTGATACCATTGAGAATTTCGTGCATGTGTTTGATGCGGTCGTCCTTCTCCTTCATAATTTTCTTTTGCAAATCGCGAGTCACCTTGGCGAGCACGCCGTTGAGCGGGATCATGAGGATCATGACGCCCAGACCGGCCAGGGTAGAGGGGCCCATGAGCTGCCAGAGAAAGTAGAGGGAGAGAGCAATCTGGAAGGGGGCGGACCAAATCATCTGCAGGTAGCCCATGAGATCCATGAAACGCTGGGCATCCACGGACATGAGGTTGACAATTTCGCCGGTGGTGCTCTGCTGGCGAGCCGTGTTGCTGAGATGGAGTGACTTTTCATAAACGACATTGATGATGGCAGAGCGTAGACGCATGCCTGTCTTCATGACGCGATGAAAGTACTGGTGAAGAAAGATGCTTTGGAAGATGGCGGTGATGAACATGCCCACGGCAAGGGCGTAGCCGTGCCACACGGGTTGAGCCTCGCCAAATTGTGACTCGTTGACGTAGCGAATGAGGTATTTGAGGAGCTGTGGCGAGACAAAGGAAAGGGTGTCCTGTAAGAACTTGAAGATGCCACCGACGGCAAACATGGCCCAAAAAGCCCGGGTCAAGGCCAGAGTGAGGGAGGCCTTGTCGTGGCCCTTGGCCTTTTGCCGGCGCCATTCGGATTTGAGGCGATTGGCCAGGACGTGGGCGTTCTCGTCAGGCATGAGGTTGAAGAGGTCATCATCTGTTAGGGAGCGACTGTAGCCCAGACGCATCAAGGGGTTGAGCCACCAGAAACTGATGCGCGAGAAGAAGGTGGCAAACTGCTCCGGGCTAAAGAACAGGTTGAGGCGAGAGCATCGGTGAAAGTGTCCAAGAGAGTGGATGTGGGCGATGGAGCGAGCACTGATAGACAGGGAAAGGTAAAAGACACAGGCGGGCGTCAGGGTCGTACATACCACGGCTTGTCGCCGCTATCAAGATTGGTGTAGACGTTGCGCAAGGGTTCCCGGAAGCAGGAAGCAAAGAAGGATGCCACGTCAAAGGCCATGTGGGGAACAAAAAAGCCGACGTAAAGCCAGTTGGTGTGGCCATGCTACATCGAATGACCCAATACCCCACCATGTTCAGGCGTGAGGCACGGTGGGTCTTGGGGGAGTTGTGCAACCAGAACCGGGGATATCCTTGAAAAAAGGGGGGTGTGGGCCGGGCGGTCGCACCTGGGTCTGCAGAATGAAGCTGCGCATTTTGACCACGTCGACAAGCATGGCAATGAGCCAGAAGATGGTCAGAACACCACTGCTGACAAAGCCCAGGTTGTGCTCCCGCACTAGGACAATGTAAGCCAGGGCCTGCAGGCGGGAAGGAGAGAGAGAGAGAGGGGGGGGGGAGAGACAAATGGTGCGGGGCCACGCATGAGCCAAGCGCAGTCGACAGACGCCCCCAGCGGGCGCAAGGTGTCATTGGCAGGTTGCTTGCACAGTGGAGCACAAGAGGGTAGAGAAAGGAGACGCGAAAACTGGAACGTACGTAACCCAGGGCTTCGATGGCCGGGGACACGATGCGAAAGTCATACTGCTCGAGGTAAATGGCGGTTGCCATCTCACCGAGCATGCCGGCGCAGAGCAGGACCAGGAGAAACTGCTTCCATTCATACAGGGCCGAGGAAGGCACACGATGGCGAACAATTGGCGTGGCCAGGGCAACGCGGAGGAGCCCCACCACGAGAATAAACATGCATGGCAGGCTGGTCAGAATGGTGTCCTCAAAACAGGAGGAGAAATCGAGACGATAGTCCCAGTTGGGATCGATTTGTGCGTCCTCCGCGTGCGAGTTGGGACCCTGTACACGATAGCGTCAACAGATTTGATTATGTCGCAAGAGGCCCGGGCGTGAGCATGAGCAGCCGAGGGCGGTATAACGCGGCCAGAGCAAGAGGAGGGACTGATACAGACACAACACGTGGGCCAAGGGCGAGGCCGGTAGCGCACCCGAGGCACCCAAGGCTGGTGCACACGGGGTTGGAGCACAAGGCAAGGAGTGAAAGGAGTAAGGTGCGTGTCGTCAAACTGACCCAAAAATCACGGCCACCGCAGTACTTGTTCATGGTGCCGGTGTAGCGCGCGCGTTGGCGCCTCGTGGGCGCGCTCGAAATTGAGCGTCAACCTGTGATCGAGGAAAAAGACAGTCGTTCCAGTGAATGAGCGTCGGCCCAAGCACTTTGAACAAGAGACCAGTCTACCTCCACTATACCAGGCACGGCAGGTCGGATCCCCTCAAACCACTCACCAACCAGGAACCGAACCGAGCTGGAGGTCTCGTTACTACGCCGCAGCGGTCGGTAACTTTTCGCTGAAATAAAAAATGCACAAGAGAGAGAGAGAAAGTTTGAGAGAGAGAGAGATGAATTGGTTTGGTCGAGAAATAGAGAGAGAGAGAGAAGAGAGTTTGAGAGAGCGAGATATTTTTCTGTGAGAAGAGAGAGAATGGAATCGTTGGTCAACGTGCGTGACATGTGAGTGAGGGGAAATGACGTTTGAATGCTGTGGGACTAAATACATTGGTATGGGACGTGCGGTGGAGTGAGCCTTGGCCTAGTCTTGTTCGGGTGCCCGAGGGAAGGGAGGGAGGGGTCTTGCTTCTGGGGGATTCAAGCTTTTGAACGGTCCGTTCCATCAGTCGAACTTGAGGCGGGCCCCCAGCCGCCAATGGTCGGTGCCTTTGGCAGTCTTGAAAAAATTGAGGGTTGGTTCTAAGGGCTTGGCATCGATGTTTGTGCCAAAGACCATGGCCACGGCCACGGCCACCAACACCGACAGCGTCACGGGTCACTGCCGCTGCGCTGCCACTTTGCTCTGGATCACATCTGCTGGGCTTTGGCGCGTTGCCAGATGGGCCCACTTGCTTCTTTTAGTCATGTCAGCCCTTGTGACTCGCAGGCTCTCGCACTTTGGTTTCTCAGCTGCGCACGGCGTGCCATGGTGTGTGGTCTTGCGATTCTCAGGACCGTTCCGGTCGGTCATTGTCAGACAAAGCATATAACGAAGATCAACAGCTGTTGTGGACGAACAAAGGTTGCCGCGTGCGCTATGCTTGAAAGTCGAGCGATTCGCGGGGGTCAGACTTCTTAGCCTTCCTACTTTTGCGCACCACAACAGGGACAAAGAGCGAGCCGCTACGAAATGCCAGTGTGTGAAGAGTGGTGAAGTGACACTGACACACACCATCAAGAGAAATCGTAGCAGAACAAAAGAAAGTGAACGAGAGAGAGAGGAGAGAGAGAGAGAGAGAGAGAGGCTGTTGAATGCTATTTCTTTGTTGAATGCCCTCGCCCACAAGAGCGCCGTCGCCTCTCTCGCCATCATCATGAGCTTCACTGCACAGTCCCTTCGCCCGGCGCGCCTTGGTAGGTTGACCTGCTGTGTTCCGTGTTCCGTGTCGAAAAGCCGGGGATGAGGCACATCTCTCCATAGCAGCTTCTGGGTCGAGCCCTCGGCAGCGTTTTCAGACCTACCACATCTACACACCTACACACCTACACACACACACCCCCCACAGCCCAATGAGACGTCTGGACCGGCGCTCGCCCAGCTCGATCCATGTCCAGCTCAAACCATACGCAATCCCTTTGCTGCCCTTGAGCTATGGGGCCAACAAGGGTTCACCTTCTTGCTTCATGCTGATGCGCCATGTACCACTCCTTCTTGCCTTTTGGGCACACCCCTCCTCCTCGGGCCACTGCCACACACGTTTTCGCACTCGCCACTCCTTCGCTTCCGGTTCCCCAGTGTCCTCTCAAGACCATGCCGCGCTGCCTCTCTCATCTCATGCCATGGCCTCTCCCGCTCTGCTAGTGCGCACCGTCCGCACCATCTACGATGCGACTCGCCCCGCTCTCCGTATCAACAAGGACACCAAGGTCATCTGCCAGGGCTTCACTGGCAAGCAGGTGCGCTGCCGCATCGCTTCACCGGCACACGGCTACACGTGCGAGCTGCAGCTCGGGTTCATGGCCACACATCCCGGCCCAACGCGAGGCTCAGCTCTGTTACCTGGTCACGTTTTGAAGATTCCAGTGCTGTAAGCCTTTCATCACTCACCATTCAACATGCGCTTGCGTGTTCTTGACGCACACGCAGGGTACCTTCCACAGCGAAGCTGCCATTGCTTACGGCACTCAGATGGTCGGTGGTGTCTCTCCCGGCAAGGGCGGACGTGAGCACCTTGATCTGCCTGTCTTCAACAGCGTGAAGGAGGTTCGTTTCCCCCTCCTGGTTGACACCCCAGCCCAACTCTTGTGCGTGGCTGCACCCGCCCCCCGCTTGCTAAATACCCTTTGCCATCGTATTCCCTTCTGCCACAGGCCAAGGACGCCACCAATGCTGATGCCACTGTCATCTATGTTCCTCCTCCTTTTGCTGCTGCCGCCATCTTCGAGGCCATGGAGGCGGAAATTCCTCTTGCCGTTTGCATCACCGAGGGCATTCCTCAAGCTGTGCGTTACTCACGACGCGCGCTTTCTGAAAGCATCGTCTCTTTGCTACCGTGGGTGCTGATCTTTCGCACCATCTTCTCGCATGGCTTTTCTAGGACATGGTTCGCGTCAAGCACGCACTGGTCCGCCAAGACAAGACTCGCCTTATTGGCCCCAACTGCCCCGGCATCATCAAGCCCGGCGAGTGCAAGATTGGCATCATGCCCGGCCACATTCACGTGCCCGGCAACATTGGCATTGTCTCCCGCTCGGGAACCCTCACTTATGAGGCTGTTGGCCAGACTTCCGCCGTCGGCTTGGGCCAGTCCCTCTGCGTTGGCATTGGTGGTGATCCCTTCAACGGCACCAACTTTATTGATTGCCTCGAGGTCTTCCTCAACGACCCTGAGACCAAGGGTGAGTCCGGGTGCCCTATCCCGACCTACCCTCAACTTATGGGGGCCTGACAAACCAGTCATTTAGCCACGTGTCAACATCTGGCTTCTCTCTCGATTGGACTTGCATGTTAAGAGCAGGTCAACTCACTCATGTGGCTGCTTCGGTATGCGCGCAGGTATCATCATGATTGGCGAGATTGGTGGCTCTGCTGAAGAGGAGGCCGCCGAGTACCTCAAGCAGCACAACACTGTACGTGTCTGCTCTGGCCTGCATTCAACTGCTGATTCGCGCGACCCAGTTATGGTAGCCTTTTTGTCCTTGAGCTCTTCACACCTGACTCGCGCGCACACACGTGCTTACCTGCCTCTTCTTGTAGGGTCCCAACCGCAAGCCCGTCGTTTCCTTCATTGCTGGTCTGACCGCGCCCCCAGGCCGCCGCATGGGCCATGCTGGTGCCATTATTTCCGGTGGCAAGGGCGGTGCTGGCGCCAAGATTGCTGCGCTCGAGGATGCCGGCGTCATCGTCTCCAAGTCTCCCGCGCAGATGGGCGTGCTCATGAAGCAGGAGATGGAGAAGGCCGGCCTTGCTTAAAGACCGTGAACACCCACTGTCATTTTGTTTTGTAGCGCGTGGCTGCCCAAGCAATGCAGTGCCACGTTCCGGTTGTCATGTACGCATGTAAATCGGATTCCGTTGCTTAGCCGTAAATTGTCTTGTTGCTTTTTCATCCTTCTTCTCCCCTTCTCTCTCTCTCTTTTTTTTTTTTTGGCGATGAGGACTTGGAAAGGACCAGCACTTTTCGAAATTTTCTTCCTTTCCTCCGAGTGTCTCAATTGACCTAATTCTTGGCGTGCGACACCTTGGTTGATGACACGCTCAAAGGTTACTGGCGCTAATGCCAGAGCAACATTTGCCAAAAATGCAAAAAGAGACCACTGGGCATCGCCTTGGCTCAGTGAAGAGAAAGATCACTCTGGCGCTTGAGGCGTTGTTTGTCTTTTTTGTCTTTTTTCTTTGTGTTTGTTTGGCGAAAGATTGTCGATTATTGTCTCTGGAGCTGCTTCAGTAAATCCAGCTCGGCTAAGCTCCCGGTAGCGTGTCTTTGCTGAGAATCTTGAAAGCCAGGATGGCAATCGCCATAACAAGCACTGGAGAAAGAACGTTGCACAAGAGGCGGGGTGAGGGCGGGGGGTAAAGACAGAAGCTTGACGTGAGGCAGGCCCAACATGTCACCGGTCATCACGATCAAGGGTCGCACGTCAGTGCAATCATGGTCATGAATAAGGTCCACGCACCGGAAATAAGAACGTTGAAACCCATGTCATTGGGAGGGGGTGGCGTGATCAGCTGCTGAACCGGATCTGCTGCGGCACTGGTAGCTCCTGTGGCGTGTGCGTGCTCTCGTGCTTGTGTATGTGCTGAGGCTGGAGGTATGGCCGCGGCGGTTGCGCTCGCAGGATTCTCTGTTGAGGCAGGTGTAGGCATGGGGCTCGGAGATGCAGCCGCAGCGGCTGCAGAAGCCGTCGAATTCTCACTGGGCGCTGCAGCCGCAGCTGGTGTGGGATCAACCTCTGTAGAGGACGATGCTGGGGCAGGGACAGGGGCAGGAGCAGGGTTGTGGGCTGCAAAAAGTGCCGACCAACACAGTAAAGCAAGGTGTGAGGCAGTGGTCACTTGATGGTCCTAAGACCATTGGTCTTAGCCAATCAGACACATAACGCAGAGTTGGCAACACACCGGCCAGGAGTTCCTGGACCAGGTTGGCCTGGCTGTTATCATCCGATGTGCCGGGGCCAGGCGGCTCCGACTGCAGCAAAGAGGCACAGGTGCAACCACACTCATCACAGTGCCAGCTTTGGGATCTATGACGTGGATACCACCCAGCAGCCCTGCTCGATGAGCGAGGGAGGGCAGCAGCAGGACTACAAAGATGCAGGGTAGGTAAACATCCCGCCCGTTAGTCAAAGACGCACTTTTTAGCCAAACGTTGGCATTCCTGTGGCGCACAGTCCAGTGCCCCAACAGCTCCTTGGCCCTTGGTAGGCATAAAGCTGATGAGGGCTAGCAGCACCGTCCGAACTTAACCGCGGGGCATTTGGATGAGGATGAGGTCTGCGGTTGATGCCACTAGCTGCAGCGAGGCACCTCAATAACACGTACTGGACCAGCTTGGCTGCCAAGTTTCCGGATGGTAGTCTGACATGGACAAACAAATCTTCTTGTGCGTTTCAAAGCGCCCATTTGGCTGTTGTTGTTGTAGTTGTTGTCGTGTCAATAAGAGAAGTCAGGGTGCGCGCGTGGATCGGTCAGCGCCCTGCAGCATTGATGGGATCACTTACTGTCAGAAGGATGATGCTGGGCGGCTTGAGAGGATATTCTGCGGGCAGAAGAATACGTCCATGGTAGACGCCACCCTCGTATGGACTGTCCGCAGGGCCACGGATGGTGAAGTGCCACTCAAACATGTCACTCTAATACCGCGCAACCAAACAAGATTACCGTCACCGTGCGCGGTGACGAACAGCGCATTTGCGGAATGCTGGTTGGCCAGTGCTACAAGCTACTGGCCCATGCAGCCAGTCCACAAGGTGCAAAGCGCTCAGGTGAGCCAGGCTTCAGAACCTACCTCCAATGGGGCGGCAAAGTATTCGTAGGTGGGCTGGGCCAGCTCCTTGGCCTCCTTCATGATGCGCTTCACGGCTGGCAGGCAGGCAAAGCGTCCAAGTGAGTCAAGTCCTGAATCTCCGACCACCACTTGACAAAGTCATGGCAGCGTCACCCCCTTGGGAAAGCATACCAGGAGATCGAACACTCATCTTGCTGATTGATACTGCTGCTCCCAACTCCGCTCGTCTTGCTTGACTGTGAATCCAAAAAAGCTCCAACAGGAGAATGAGAGAGAGAGAGAGAGAGAGAGAGAGAGAGAGAGAGAGAGAGAGAAAAACGCACAAACAACAACAACAACAAACATCGTGACACCACAAACTTCCAAAAGTCTGACAAAGGGTTGCTGTTGTTGTACCACTTGGTAACACACGTTGATTCATTTTTTTTTTTTGAACTGGTCAGCACCACGTCAGTTTGACTGAACAGCACGAAACCACTGAGCTCTCTCTCGCGGCTTGTGAGAAGCGGCCGAGACGCCGGGCGTTCGCGCCACGATCTCCTGTGTGCCCTTTTGAAAAGAGTACGTGTTACCGTTTTCCAAAACCCTTGGATTGTGTTTGTTGTTGTAAAATGCCAGATATGCTATGGGTGCGGCTTTTTTTTCATTGACCACGGTCAGCACCCCAATGAGTCTGGCAAGAACGAGTCGCCTGCGTGAGCTCTACTTGTGGTCTGGATCCTCCCCATTCCATCCGCTTCGTCTCACTTGGGCCACATGACCTTTATTTTGCTTTAACGACCAATTATAGCTCCAGTGCGATGCGGCCAACACAGGTCAGGACCATGCAACCATGCTCTTGAGCCGTTTCTTCTCGTGGTCAAAGTGCTTTGTTCAACTCTGATCTTGTGATTTTCGCATTGGCAGGTTCACCTCGAGGCCGGCACCGAGCTTCGCCTTGAAGTGGCTGAAGACGATGTTCTCCGTGTCAAGGTTGGTTACTTATGACGATACAGAGGCATTCTATTTCTGCCCTTCCCGCAAGTACGCCGGGAAGCGCCCAAAGTCAAGCACCTTCATCCACAAACGAGCAAGACGGCACAACAAAGCCTTTCAATCGTCTGTCTTTTTTTTCTTTCCAAACTAGAGCAACAACCCTTGCTGATTGATAATTTTCTTTCTTTCTTTCTCTCCCTCTTTGAAATGATTGTGATTGAATTTCCGTGTGGGGCAGCGCCCCTGTTTCTTATGACCATGTTTATGTCTTTACTGCCACGTTTTGTTGGCCCTCGATCCTCCCCCTCTTTTTTTTTTGTACTTGCAATAGCTGCTGAGCGGCCTTGCTGAAGTGTTCGGCTCTGAGTTAGCCCCCAAGCAGGAGTATGTTTTTAGCAACGCCCAACTTGCTATTTTTTCTTGGCATGGTGCCAATCTGGAATTGACAAGTGACCACGCCTCCCAATATCAATCCACGTACGATACGGCGCACCGATCATCTGGCTTCTTCGCGCACGCTCCACTGTCTGGTCTTTTTTCCAGTCTGCCTTTCTTTTTGCATCCGCTGTGTGTGCGTGTGTGAGTGAGTTGGAGTGAAGAGTGTTTGTGGGTGTGCAGAGCAACACTCGCTTGCATACTTTATATCTACTCGCAAACCCGCAAACACCAAGTTCTCGAAATGAATGGACGACTCTTTCCACTTATGACTCACCTCTGAATATTCACCTGCCTGAACTGGCCCGATAATTCTCGGCTTCGCCCATCTTAGGGATACACCCATGCGCTACTACCTCAACACTCACATGGCTCTGGAGCAGCGTCGTATGCAGAATCAACAGTCAGGCCACCCAGGACCTCGGGTACGTTGTGCCCTAGCTCGCTAGCATGTACATCTATGCCTCAGTTCACGACAACGGCACCCCTTTGGCTTTGTCCGCCTTAGGTCTTGGTTACTGGTCCCTCTGGGTCGGGGCGCACCTCTCTGTGTCGAATTTTGCTCAATTATGCCGTGCGAATCGAGCGAACCCCGCTTTTCGTCGACCTGAACCCGCGCGAAGGCAATTTAGCAGTTCCCGGCACGTTGGGTGCAGCCGTCATTGAGGAAATGCTGCCCCCGGAGCTGCCCTTTGTCTTGGCCAATCCCCACGTAGGTTCTTCGACCTTCCGCTTTCCCTGCTCTTTTTTTCTGCCCCTACTCCCTCTTCTTTTTTATTGACCTGCTTTGCCGCCTTTCATCGCCTGTTTTCACACCGTACACAGGTCCTCCATTTCGGCCACGCCGGGCCCGAAGATGACCGCTATGTGTATGATCATCAAGTCGCATCTTTGGCCCGAATTGTGTCCAGCAAAATGGAGAGCGTGCGTTTGTGGTAGAACTTGTCTCCCTCCTTCCCTTCTGACCTTTCAACAGACCGTGACGTGTCCTCGAGACTTTTGTTGTCCACTGAGGCTGACCTTATTATGCCAATGCCATGCCGGCCCGTGCCTTGCGTTGCATACAGGACCCACTGGTGCAGGCATCAGGAATGTTTATCAACTGCCCAGCCTTGGCAGGCGCCGATGTCTTGGCTACCCGGGCAGCGTTTGGCTGTACGTTGCTTGCAAGAGTCCCATGTCATCGCTGCCCCAGCCACACGGCTGTTTGGCGATAGCCTGTTTCTTTTCACCTTTTTGCCTCGGTGCTGGGGTGCCTGGGGGGGCATCCTTTGACTGCAGGTGATGTAGTGATCGTCTTGGACAACGAGCGCTTGGTTAATGAGCTGAATGCTTTGGTCCGACAGTCACAATCCCCGGTTGAGATTATTGGTTTGCCAAAGTCTGGTGGGGTACGTTGTCCCGTCTTGATAGCCTTCTTCTTCTTCTTCTTCATTTTGGACATGTGGTCTTAGGTCGTTGTTCGCGATGAAAGCATGTCCAAAGGACAAGATCATGCCGCGTTTTACAAGTACTTTTATGGCAACCCAAAGAGCGAGACATACAATTTGAGCCCCTTTTCCTTCGATGTCAAACTCGGCAAAGTCCAAGTTTTTCGTCTTGGAGGTAAATGCATTTCTTTTTTTCCAGCTGTCCCATCTGCGACGACACCCAAAGTTTAGCTTGCCAGCTCTGCTTCCTTTCTCTCTCACCCGTGTCTCACACTTCCTTTCTTTGCGGCGCAAGCAGGCCTTCAGCTCCCTGCATCCTTGTTACCGGTGGATGCGGATGTGAACGAGTATCGCCTCCGGGTTTCAGAAGCTCCCGCTTCGGCAGGTGCGTGACGCATGAATACGTTCAGGCAGGCGTCACAGGGGCATCTGCACCACATCAGGAAATCCGCTCTTTGATATTCCCACGTCGGCTTGATCTTAGGTTGGAAGCACCGCATTTGCTCCGTCGTCGAAGAAGCGGTACGCCTCGTTAGCTCAGCTGCAACAGCCGCCGAGTTTGAGTTGCCTCATCCGACCTCGTGTGCGACACTCCCTCAACGTGTCTTTTACACTTGCAAATGGGGATTGTTGGCTTTGTGATCATAGGATATCGGTAGTAGTGTGTTGGGATGTGTCTGCATCTTGCACTACGACGAGGAGCGACAAGTCATCAAAGTCCTAAGCCCAGCCGCTTTCCCTCTCCCTGCTACTAAATTACTGCTCAGCAGTCTGTCCTTCCAAGAAGGTTAATAGCAAAGAGAGCATGGGTGCAACCTGCTGTTGTTGAGTGTTTGTTTCTGTGTTGTTGTTTTTCTTCATTTCACATGTCAATCACACAACGCTATTCAACCAGACTACCAGATGTTGGACCTAGCATTTGTGTGACAATTCGAGACAGCTCAAGTTTTCACACTTCACGGCGTGTTTATGAGCCCAAATAAAGTGTATGGCATATCACGCTTTGAAACAGTACAACACGTTTTCGTAGCGTGTTGGAAAATCAGCCGCTTGCCGATCAGTCACCCTAAGAGAATAGGAAAAGCAACAGCTTCTCACCCTACTACGACGTTCACGTCTTTTGTTCCGTCGCCTTCGTTTCCTTTCTGCCTTGGTATGAAGGAACGTTGCTGCTCTCTCTCTGTCTCTCTCTGTGTCTCGCCTCTCTCTGTCTCTCTCTGTCTCTGTCTCTGTCTCTCTCTGTCTCTCTCTCTCTACACACCCAGCAACCAACTGAACTTGGTAGGCTTACAAGGTCATGCGCGTCGAGCGGGTAAGGTTCAACAAAACAAGAACGCAAGAACGTCAATTCCTTTGGCTTCGCTTCGGTATAGCGCCAAGCCCGCCTTTCGCCTTTCGCCTCTCTGCCTCTCTGCCTCTCCCCCGTGCGCGCCTGGGTGCCTGAAGCGCCCATCGTAGCTTGAATGAATTGGACTGCCCGCAATGATTGTCTTTCGCCTCCAAAGTCGTGCAGCTGATCCACCGCGAACAACTTGGTGTCTTGGCAGGTCCTTTCTTTGGCTTGTTGTCTCGCCGGCTCTCGAGCCGCCAGTACTCTGACCGTTTGACATCGGGCGGCGAGTCGAAGTGAGTGAGCTCATCGTCGCTGTTGAGATGCCTTTGGTGCCGTCTATTCAGAGCTGTACAGCATTCGATTTTTGCAGCGATTCACGACCGAATATCGGCACCCTACGAATCGGGGTGTGTCCTGGGCCGAGTCACCTCATCTCTGTACAACCTCATCCCAAATTAGACAAGCCGCCGGACCAGGGGCGGGACAAGGTCTTTCCACTGCCTGGGCTGGGGTCCCCCCACGCCAGGACCACGGTCAAGGCACTTTGATACCCAAACAAGACTGTCTCTTAGGCAAAGCCTGCAATCTAGCTTCTCTGCCCATCCTTTTTTTTTTTGACCGAGGCGCTTGACCAAGAGCCTCGCCTTACGATTCATCATGCGCTGGTACTTGTTGCTTCAAGCCACGCTGGTGTTGGCTTGCTTGGGTATGTACATCATCGTAGTCGAAGAATGTGCTTGGCGCACATCTGCGCCGACAACCTCACTTTGAGTCGCTATCTGTAGGCTGGACTAGCGCAACTACCCTGCAGCTTTCAGCCACCAACACGGCTCTAGTTGTTGGTGATGAGACCATTCTGACTGTGACCGCTATTAATAATGGTCAACGCGATACATCAATCAGCGGGCATGTTTATCTTTCTGACCACGGGGCTGCCTTGTTGCCCCAGGCCAAGCTGAGCCTTCTTGCGGGCCGAGGCTCTGTCGTGCTTTCAACTATTACAGCCGTGAACGCGACCATCGAGCTTGTGAACGCAAGCTTTGTAAGCAGCATTCCTGAACCAGTCATTGCCATCACTTGGTCACCAGATAATGTCGTCCGCGTTGTCGTTGATGGCATGCCCGAGCAAATTAGTGCTGGTACCACACTCTCGTTTGGTGCCACAATGTTTGATCGATTTGGCAATCTGGCCACCCTTTCCAAAGTCTCTGTGACACTAGTTTTGTCAGGATCTCTAGCATCAGCGCAAACAGACGAAGTGACTTCTGCAGCATGGTCTTTCACCACTACTCCCACGCTCGCACAGCCGCTCGTCTACACAGTGCAGGCCGTATCAGAGACCAATGCTTCCCTTGAATTGGTCAATGCATCTGGAACTATTATTGTGACACCAGGTACTTGTTGCAGCAGTCTGATCCTTGTCTCAAAACCAAGATATAGGTCTCATTGTAGACCCACAACGCCATGATGCTTTGCACTCGCAATCACCCTTGAGCTGAACACACTAAAAACAACACGTTGCTCACTTTTATATTCTACTTGTTCCAATAGATGCCACCGCTCGCCTCGCCGTGACCGCGCCCACTTATGATGCTGTCAAGACTCGAACCTCGAACAACATTGTCGTCGGCGACTCAGTTGCATTGAGCCTGACAGCGTTCGATGCCTATGACAATGTCAATACCAACGAGAACCGATCCTTGGCCCTTTCCGCCAACACCTCATTTTCTATTCTAGGCGCTACAGCCATGGTCAATGGCCGACTCAATACTTCCATGGCGTTAAATCAAGCGGGCAACGTTGGCGTATCAATCACCTTAGACGCCATAACAGTTGCACTCACCTTTACCGTGTACAGCGACCTTAACTTCGTCATGTCTGCCAGCGCCTCAGCCGTTGTTGGTCAAAGCACCGAGGTGGCCGTTCGCGTCAGGAACCGGGCTGGTGCCTTTGTCACCTCGGTGGATGCTTCCCTCGTCTTGGCATTCTCCGGTGATGCTACTGGTACTACAACCGTGAGTATTCTCTCTGGGGTGGGCTCGACCTATGTGCGAGATTATCGTGCGGAGATTGTAAACGTGACCATCGTGAGCAACTCCCGTCCAGACATCAGCTCTGCTGCCTCGTTGCAGCTGGCGTTTGTTGCAGGTACGGCCCGCCTTTGCTTCTTCTTCTTCTTCTTCTTCTTTTTTTTTTTTTTTTTTTTTCTGAACAGCCGAAACAGGACCTCTTTGGCAAAGAGGAACGGGGAAAGCTCTTGTCTTGCTTTGAACAGAGGCTCACATCGCACTTGTGATTTTTTCCCACTTTCTGTTCCACACAGATGTATTGCAGACAGTGACTTTGGCTAGTAACGTGACTTCGGTCAAGGCAGGACAAGTGGTTGAGGTCCGGGTCACAACAGCTGATCAATACGGCAACCCCATCAACGACGCAACTGCCATCCCGCTGGACATAACAGCGCCAGACACAAGTTCTTCGTCCGTCACCATCAACGCTACTCTTGGAGAGGGCGTCTACGCATACAAGCCAACTTTGGCAGGAGACCATGTACTGGAGATTCCCACGTTTGGCAGCGGCCTGACTCTTCCCAACGCTGTGTCTATTGTCACAGTCGCAAGTATGTATGCGTAGACGTTTCTCTGCGGTCGTTCATGGTTGTATGCCGAATCTCGCCCACTCCTCATCAACTTTGGTTCCTTGCTGAGGGCAGACGAGGCATTTAGCATTGCTCTTGTGGCCACGACAACGCTCGACATCACAGCGGGTGGAACAGTGCGCTTTTCCGGCATGTTCAAAGACATGTTTGGTAATACAGCCAACGTGACCGGACCGGTGCCGGCTCGCATCATCTCTGATTCGACTCGTCAACAAGCTGTTACACTTGCTGTGGTCAATGGGTCCATTAACGATGAGGCCATCATCGTCAATGTGGCGGGAACGTGCAATTTGGTACTGGACATGGATGTGCTCCAAGATATCGCAGGCCCAATCAATGTTGCTCCTGGTGAGGCTCCTCGTTGTCTGTACTAGAAACCAAGCTCTTGCTCTCTCGTTCGCAAAGCCTCTGATGTCATATTTTCTTTTCAACTGTCCATTTCTACGATTGAGAGCGCTCACGTTCTACCACGCGCACGCTTTCTTTCTTGCCTTCAGGTGTTGCCACCAATGCGACCATGGAAATTGTCACATCCGGACGTGTGAGCGATAACACGACGGTCGTCATGACCTCGCGCGACGCGCTAGGGAACCCTACCAACTGGACAGGCACAATGAGCCTTGCCATCACAGGACCCTTCAATTTCTCTGCAATCCTTGCATTTGTAGGCCAGTCCATCCAACATGAGTCGTTCGCTATCCGGGCTTCAGGCAGCTATAGCGTGCTGGTTACCTCAATTCTCAACGCGCAAATCAATGAAGTATTTCTTTTGAGCCCGGCTGCAGCAACCACGTGGCAAGGCAGAGTGGTTGGAGAGGCGTCTGTTGACGACGAAGTCATTTTGCGTGTCACTCTTGTTGACAACTTTGGCAACCAAGCGACAAACACTTCCGGTGCCAACGTGCAGGCGGCTGTTCAGCGCGAAGAAGGCTTCACAACCGCGACCTTTTCAAGTACTTTGGCCAACGGGACAGCTGATATTTTGCTGCCGCTGGTGGAAGCTGGCAACTACAACGTTACGCTCAGCGGTGCTCCCTACAGTGATTCTACGGTTCAAGTGTCTGTACTTCCAGGTTTGTGGCGTTTTTCTATATTTTGCGCGCTGATGCTTTCAAACAATTAGTTTGCCCCATAAAAGTAGCGTTGGGTTTGTTTGCTCTGTTATCACCTTCTTTGCACTTTGTTCTCACGTAATGTATTTGTTATGTCTTCCAAAGGCGCTGCGGTGCGTTACTCATTGCTTGAGACCGCAGCAACCACGGTCAATGGGACCATGGTGTTGATTATCCAGGCTCGTGATCAATATGGCTTTCGGTCAAACCATCGGGGTTGGGTCCAAGTCGTGCTCACACCAACCAAAGGCAATGTATCATCTGCCAACGTGACCATCGTCGATGGAACTGGTCGTCTCAATGTTACAAGCAACGTGGCCATGACTTACACCGCCACCATCGCGTCGGCGGACCTTGCCATTTTTGACGGCTCACAACGCCTCTCATTCGTCTACCCCTCAAGTCAGTCAGCTCTCCGAAGCACCGCGAGCCACCCACGCGATGGGTTGGGGGAACAATGGCGCCCACACAAAAGTCCCTCTTCTAACCCTTTTCCACCCTTTTAAACATCTCATGGTACTTTTGCTTTTCTTAGGCGTCGGAAATGATGGCAACGGCAACACCATTGCAATCAATTTTACGGCCACGGATCTGGAAGCACTTCGCAGCCAAAGCTTGGCTGGAAAGTTTCCCAACACTTCACAGTTGGTTGTCACTGAAGATCTCATTCAAGACATGGCGGGCAACCCCGTGTGGCCCAGCGTTCAGGAGCCAGTGACGCACAACGTTGATTTGATTGCACCAAAGCTGATTGCTAGTCTCCTCAACATGGACAGTGGCAGGCTTCGCCTTGAATTTTCTGAACCTGTACGCCTTGAGACTTTGAATCCTCAGCAAATCATCGTGAGCTCAGCAGCCAGCGGATCGGCATTGCAACATCGGCTTCAGGGGGGTTCTGTATCACCCGCCTCTGGCGTTGCTGCTCTTGTCACCATTAACCTGACCAAAAGCGACTTTACTACCCTTCAAGCAACCTCAGGACTTGCTGATGATCGGTCCACATCCTTTATTCACTTTACAGCCAGTGATCTGCTCGACGTGCGCCAAAATCCTCTGGCCGCAAGCAGCACCAACATTTCTCAAGCAATCAATGCCGAGTTTCAGCAGGATACAACAGCCCCCGTGTTGCTCAATGCCACGCTGCAGTTGTCTACGGCAACTTTGGTTTTGGAATTCAACGAGGCCGTGTCTTTCAGCAGCTTTCACCCTGCTCTGATGCGAGTTGGCAATTCGTATGCTTCGGCTGCTTCTTTGGCAAATGCCATCGTCAGTGTCAACGGCACAGTTGCTACCTTGCTGCTTGCCAATGCAAGTCAGATCAAGCTTCAGCAAGATGACACTTCCTGCCGTGGCTCTCTA